GATGTGTCTCTCTCACATCAATGTCTCTCTTTCTCTCTCTCTCTCCCCTCCCTCCCTCCCATTCTATCTGAAGATAAATGGAATATCATCGGGTGAGGATTAAAAAAACAAAACAAAACATTAATCTAAAAACTGCTATGAAGGGATTTTGCAGGTGTAATTAAAACCCCAAGTCAGGCCCTGGCTGGTTTGGCTCAGCAGTTGGAGTGCTGGCCCACAGACCAATGAGTCGCGGGTTCAATTCTGATCAAGGGCACATACCTCAAATGCAGTTCGTCCCCTGAGGGGTCGTGCAGGAGGCAACTAGTCGATGTGTCTCTCTCATATCAATGTTTCTCTCCCTCCCTTCCACTCTATCTGAACAAAAATGAAAAAATATCCTCGGGTGAGGATTGAAAACAAAGTAACAAACAAACAAAAATACCCCAAGTCAGGCCAGTTTAGCTCAGCAGTTAGGGCATCGGCCAGGGGACTAAAGGCTCAAGGGTTCAATTCTCAGTCAATGAATGGTACATACCTGGGTTGTAGGTTCGATCCTGGCCCTAGTCAGGGTTGGTAGGAATTATGCAGGAGGCAACCAATTAATGTATGTGTCTCTCTCACACTGATGTTTCTCTCCCTCCCACTCTATCTAAAAATCAATGGAAAAATATCCTCAGGTGAGAATTAACGAAAGCAAAACAAAAAACACTTCAAGTCAGCTGACCTTAAAATTCAGAGATTATTCAGGCAGTCCTGACCCAAACAGGTAAGCCCTTTAATAGCACAAAGTTCCTCTGGCTGGTGGCAGAAGAATTAGAGAAATCTGAATAGTAAGAAGGACTCAATAAGCCATCACTGATATACATGGGGAGAGGGTCACGTAAGAAGAAATGTGGGTGACATTGAGAAGCAGAGAGTAGTCCTTAGCTGAAAGCCAGCAAGAAAATGGGAACCTCAGACTTACATCCACAAGGCAGTGGATTCTGTCAACAACCTGAAGAAACTTGAAGCAGATTCTTCCCTAGAGCCTCCAAATAAGAGCCCAGCCTGACCAACACCTGTATTTTGAATCTGAGACACGAAGCAGAGAGCCCAACCAAGCCTGCCTGGACTTCTGACCTACTGAGCAATTAGCTAATAAATGAGTATTGTGTTAAATTGCTAAGTGTATGATCATTTGTTGTGCAGCTATAGAAAGTTAATACAGAAGGCTCATATATGAGAAACCTGGCCCTGATTTCTTAGCTATCCATGCTACTCTGATGAATAAAACATAAATTCACTTAAGACTGTTCCTAAATCCAGAAAAGGTTTTACTCATGATGCATTTTATTCATCAAAGATTCACATAAAAATTGCTGATGCAGAGATAGTGATTATTTAATAAATGTGAATGCCCCCCTATCTTGAAATCCTTTACTATTTATTAGCCACACATACAGGGCACTTAACAAGCACATATGGTATTGTACAATCTACTCAGAGCTGTAGTTAAACTTTATAGAAGATCTATGACTTGGTCTTCTCTATATTCTGCTAAAACACCTGACAAGATCCTAAACATAACTAGGCATTAAAAAAAACAAAAAATCTGTCCAACTGATGTAAGTATTTACTATATTGTATTAACCTTTGTTATCCTCAAACTAGCAAAAAGTAGTTATGAAGTTCCCTAAGGAATATAGTGAAGGGATAAGGCCAAGACAAAAAGAGCCTTACCTTTACATCTGGCACCCGAGCACCAAGGCTGCTAAGTCCCACGATGGAGTAGAAAGCAGATTCTAAAGTTGTGAAAGGACGGTCCAGAGAAGCTTTAAGTCTTTCCACATCATGCTTGGTGAGGTAGTGAGTGAGCGTCAGAGCTTGGGCACTGGTTGTGATTGTCAGAGCCAATAGGAAGACAGTGCTTGAAACTTGGGGGGAAAATGACTATTAAACACACTCCATACTATTTCAAAGTTCTACACAGAGTTTCAATGATGATGCCCACTGAGGTCTAGGAACCAAATCATGTGAGGAAGGGTGAGGGAACTGGGAGGTTTAAACTGGACAGAAGCCTTGGGGAAGTGGTGGGAATTCTCTTCAACAATCTGAAGGACAGTTCTCCCAGCAGTTTCCGTGTATCTAAAACACAGAACTCATCACACCATTCCCATTTCAAGTACATTAGCAACACCTATGCCTCTCAGGACAGACCCAACCCTGAATCCTCATCACGGCCTTGCCCACCTCTCAACCAGGTCTCTTCCTTCCATCTGTGGCTTTCTGGCCCCCTTTCTGTTTCTCACCCAGTAAATTTTTTAAAAATCCTCACCCAAGGGTATTTTTCCATTTATCTTCAGCCAGAGTGGGAGGGAGGGAGAGGGAGAGAGAGAAACATCAATGTGAAAGAGACACATCGACTGGTTGCCTCCCACACGAATCCAACAAGGGCCAGAGATGGAAACACAACCGCGATATGTGCCCTTGACCAGAATCGAACCTGGGACTCGGGTCCTTGGGCTAGCGCTCTAACCACTGAGAAAACTGGCCAGGGACCAGCCTAGCACTTTTTCATGTTTTCCCCTACTTATACTTAGCTTAATTTGTACTTTCAGATTCCAGTCAAGTATCTCTTCCTTAAGAAATCCTTTAATAGCCCTCCCTTGGATTAGGTCCCAAACCAGTACTATAAAATAGTTAAAAACATGGCCTCTGGAGCTAAATTTAAATCCTAACTCTGCCATGTATTAGCAATGGCACTGTGGCAATTACAGTGTGGCCAGCCTGTGCCTCAATTTCCTCAAGGTTAAGAGCACTACTTGAGTTAATATACAAAGATCTTAGAATAGTGACTGACATTTAACAAGGGTTATTTACATGTAAGCTAAATTGTTACTGTTGCCACATCCACTCATAGCAACCTGTACTTCTAAATTTCTTACAAATATAATAGTGTAATGTCTGATGCCTCAGCTAATTGTAAGCTCCATGAGGATAAACTGTCTCTTATTCATTCCAATATTTCCAAGTCTTGCACATTGCCTGGCACAAAGGAATATTAAGTCACATTGCTAAATAAATGGAAATAAAATTAATCCTCATCTTTTATGCCCAGGGAACAGGAAAAAGTTCTAGGAGTGGAACATTCTACTTTTCATTAAAAACACACAGCCCAGCTGGTGTGGCTCAGTGGATTGAGCGTCGTTCCATGGACTGAGAGGTCCCGGTTTGATTCCTGGTCAGGGCACATACCCAGGTTGCAGGCTCAATCCCTGGAATGGGGCGTACAGGAGGCAAACCAATCAATGTATCTCTCTCACATCGATGTTTTTCTCTCTCTCCCTCTCTTCTTCCCTCTCACTCTATCTGAAGATAAATAGAAAAATATTGAGTGAGGATAAAAAAAAAATCATAAAGATATTTGAAGGGAAACAGCCCAAGAAGAAAAGCAAGTTCAAAGATCCTGAATCAGGAGTATATATGGTGTTTTTATACATTAGCAAGGAGAATAGTAAGGCTAAAGAGGAGTAAGCAAAGGGTGAGATATAGGGACAAGGTGACAGAGATAATAGAGGCCAAACCTGGAGGGCCTTGTAAGTCATTGTAAGAATTTTGGCTTTTACTGAGCAAGATGGGAGCCACTAGAAAGTTTTGAGCAGAGTAGTGCTTTGACTTACATTTTATAGGATCATTGTGTTGAGAATAAAGAATACTGTGTTGAGACTATACAGGACCAGGGACGTAAAGAGAGATACCAATTAGGAGACTATTACCATAATTCAAGTAAAAACTGATGGTGGTATGAGCAAGAGGCAGTGAGAAGTGGTCAGTCTGGCTAAAATTCATAGTTAAAGCCAGATTTGCTAATGGATAGAAAGATATGAGAGAATGAGGAGTCAAGATATTAATGCTGAATCCTCAGTGCCTTGTGTACATGCATGTACTCAATACATTAAGATCTAGTGAATGACTAAGATCTAGAATAACTATGATTTATGCAGCATTTTCCCAGCTAGAATAGGGGAATGTCAATTCCCCCAATACAGTTTCTGTGTCAGAATCCTAATCTTCCCACCTGCCATTACTGATAACAGTAACTTTCTTGGCTAAAATTTGCACACTTAACACGAGTTAGGTATGCCCATACTAAGCTAAGTACTTTGCAAGCACTGAGTCATTAATCCCAACACCCAAGTGAGTGCAATTTACAAACCAAGAAATTGAGACTCAGAAGTAGTTAGCTGCCCTAAGACACACATAACTAACTGAGAATCAAACTGCATGCAGTTTGAATCCAAATTTTTGTTAACACCTCTATTACTCTCAACTTCTTTTTAAAAAAGAGCAGTAAGCCACTGACATTCATTGGTACCTTGGGCAAGTTACTTCCCTTCTTGGGATTCCCTATTCCCTCCCGTCTGTCAAGTATAAATAACAACAGTACACATTTCCCAAGTTGAGGTTAGACAACATGAGATGCGATCCTGCAGTGACCACTGGTTAACTAGCGATGCAGATAACTTCTACTGAGTGCTTACTTAGCGACACATACTGTTCTAAACTATGCACGTGGATTATCTCATTAATACAGCAATGTACGAGGCAGACCATGGGTAATGTAATCGGTTATATAGATGAGAAACTGAGGTGCACAGGGGTTAAGTAATTTGCGGTGGGATTATGTATAACGAATACGTGGCGGACAACAAGTTTGCACCAGGAGAATCTAATTTAAGAACTAATGCTCTAAGCTCCCAGAGAGGTCACTTTTGTTGTTGTTGCCACTTTCGCTATAAAGGAAATTATGGCCCAACGGGTGATTTGGCCAAAAGCTCACTCTTAGGCCGACTGGCGCGAGTCAAATGAATGAGAGAAACCAGACCTGGGGTTAACCACCGCCGCGGTCCCCCGGTTGGTCCTCGGGGGTACCCGTAGCTCGACGCCGCACCCACTCCCCACCCCTCCTTAGGTACCGTGCACTCCCACCCGCTCGCCAGCCCCCTGTCAGACCCTCAGCCCCCAGAGAGCCGGAGCCCATGCCCCAGTCCCGCAGAGGGAGGGGACCCCGCCTGGCCGGCTCCCGAGTGGCGAACACTAGCCTCCCGCAGGCGCCGGCCCAGCTGCCGAGGCGCGCCGTCCGCGGGGCCCGGCCGTCGAGCCATGCGCAACACCTCACCCGGCGGCGCCATTCCTCCGAGCAGGTCCCAGAAGGGCCCGAACCGCAGGCTGACTTCCGCTCGGGCAAGTGGCTCCAGGAGCGCGCCGGAGGGGACGCCGGGGACTCGCGGCTGTCTCCGCGTGCTGAGATGGGCTCCAGGGACAGGTCAGTGCCCGCCGTCCCGCTGGGCCGGGCTACTCCCTGTGCCGCGGCTGAAATTCCAGTCCTCGCGCGAAAAGGGCCCTGCGGTGCTCACGTACAGGCCCACTTCCCCCGGCGCCCGGGCAGACTTGGAACCGGCCGCCCCGCAACCGTCCTATTCCGGGCGCTACCGCGACGCTATTGGACAGGGCTTCGGGGCGGGCCCGAGACGGGGCCTCCTCTGATTGGTCGGTCGTCTGGCACTGAGTTGTCTCTTCAGCCCGGCCAATTTTAAAGAAATGGGAAGGGTCAGGTGGGGAAGGGCGGTTTTCGAGGGTTATTTTTTTCCCCTTTGGAAAATTATGGCATTTTCCTCCAAAGATGGTTTCGGTTGTTAATAACAGACCTATGACTGACACTTTATCTGATTTGCAAGGCATTTGTGTTGTTGACTCGGTGACTCCTTTTTAATAACTGTGAGGAGCGTATTAGCCAAAGTTTACAAGATTACGAAGAAACAGACTCAAAAATGGAAGTGACTTATCTAAGAACCAAATAATAACTAACTCCATTTATTGAAGGTTAACAGGATAGCCCGACAGTGTACTAAGCGGTCTACCCACACTATTTACTCTCCGTCACCACTCTGTGAGTGTGCAGTGTTATTCCATTTTATAGAGAAGAGAACTGAAAGATTTGAACCCACGAAGTTTGACTCCATAGTCTGTGCTTTAACTATTATGAACACATGAAGTATGCACAATATGGTATTCTTATTATCATTATTAGTGCCCCAGATGTTATTATCCCAAATAGGGAGAGTCGTTTCTTGCTATGTCTGGTGCTGTGCTTTTCAGTACTAGGTATATAAATGTTTAAATAAAATAAAATAAAAATTCAGTTTGTACTAGCCACATTTTAAGTGCTCAATAGCCACGTGTGGCTAGCGGATATCATATGGACAGTGCACAAGTATAGAACATTTCCATTGTCACAGAAAGTACTATTAGACAATGATGATCCAGAATACATAAAGAACTTTTTCAACTCAATAAGAAGACAACCAATAGTGTGCTGGAGCCATCTCATACTGGTTTACAAAAGTCAGTTGTTGAATTTATCAGGAATTTGAAAATTGGTTATTAAATGCAGCTATTTAGAAAAATTATATTATACAACCTTACAATGAAATAAACTATATTGAAAACTAAACTCATCATTTCCTAATCATTTTACTACATTTTACCATTTTCTGTGCTTTTAGGGCTGCTTATCTCTATTGTATTTGATTTTGTAAACAATAAAAATTAAAAATGGAGCCACTTTAAAATGGAGCTGGAGTTATATATATATAAATGGAGCTGGAGCTGCAATGCCAGAGGAACTGCCTTGCATGTCTTATGTCTCAAACCTTAGAATGTTAAAAAGGCAAAATAACCTTTCAACTGGGCCGAAGCAACTTTGTTTCCCAAAAAATTGTTTGCAAAAATAATTTAAAAAGCAGGTCTTATAACTGATGACTGACTACCTGACTGAAAATTTAAAACATTGTTTAGAATTAGTGTCACTATATTATGTTATCTTCACCATAGAAATGCTTTCCTTCTATTAATGTTAATTGTTCCTCCTCCTTTTCTCATAAATACCCTTTGCTTTTGTCTATTAATCAGAACATTATTTGGGCCTCCACCTGAATTGATTCCCAAATAGCTATTCTTACTGATCTCAAGTAAATATTGATTCTTATTTGCCTCTCACTTTGAAAGGCCTTTTTATTTTTAGGTTATCAATTTATTTCTTTGTTATTACCTAAATCTAATGGTGGATTAAATGTTAATAGAGAGCAAACAAAACTGTGTAATGTACACACAGTTTTCATTGTGAATAGCACAAAAGCTTGTAAATAGTTTTCTAGTATTTGAAAACTATTACCCAATTAACAATATCATAAATAAGTGAATTATGTATTAGAAGGTGTTGTATCTATAGAAAAGAAAAAGGTAAGGGGGATTGAGGGAGGTGGAGTGGTATTCTACCTCAATCTCTTTTTTGTTTGTTTTTTTTAACTTATTGGGGCGACATTGGTTAATAAAATTATATGTTTCAGGTGTACAATTCTATAATATATCATCTGTATATTGTATTGTGTGTTCACTATCCCAACTCAAGTCCCCTTCTATCACCATTTACCCTTCTATACCTTCTTCTGCCCCCCCTCCACTCCCTGACCCCCTTTCCCTCTAGTAATCACCATACTATTGTCTGTGTCTATGTCTTTTGTTTTGGTTTGAATTTTTTTGCTTAATCCCTTCACCTTTTTCACCCAGCCTAGCAACCTTCCCCTCCTCCCAGACTCTGTTCTCTATGAGTCTGTTTCTGTTTTATTTGTTACTTTATTTTCTTCATTAGATTCCACATATGAGTGAAATCATATGGTACTTGACTTTCTCTGACTGGCTTATTTTACTTAGCATAGTGCTCTCCAGGTCCATCCATGCTGTCACAAAGGGTAAGATTTTCTTCTTTTTTATGGCCGAATAGTATTTCATTGTCTCAGTCTCTTTTTTAACAGTGGCATAGTATTTCTTACCTACCTGGTCATTCCCCATGAGGCTGACAAATGCTAAGTGCTTAGGATACAAATATGACCATGTAGACAAGGTTTATCCCCTCATGGAACTTAAAGTCTAACGAGAGACAGTCAATAAACAACAAATTAACTTGATAATTGTAGGTAGTGATTAAATACTATGAAAAAAATTAGAAAATAACTGTGAGACTGGGGTGGAGAGAGGCTGCTTAACCTAGATTGGTGATTAAGGAAAAAAAAAAAAAATGCCTGTGAAAAAGTGACATTTAAGCTTTTACTTGAGTGATGAGACAGAAGCAGACCTGAAAAACTAATTTTTCTAATCCCCTCTTTATTCCTAGGCTCTGTAGTTGGGAAGAAGTAGTAGTGATCCCTTATACTTCTGACAGTGATTCAGGAAGTGTGGATTTGCAGCTGAGCAACTTAGAGGATATTAAAAAGAGCCCAAGTAGCCTTGAACTTACAGGTAAAAGTGGAAAAGGATAAGAAAGGGAGGGGGCACATCTCTTTTCAAGTCAAGTGGCTGGGTTATCGATCAGCCCTTGACTAGACTTGGACAATGAATTTGGTCCCTGGCTTTAAGACTTTGGACTATGCCCTGGCTGTTGTTGCTCAATGGTTAGAGCATTGGCTCACAGACCAAAGAGTCACGGGTTTGATTCCAGTCAAGGGCAAATACCTCAATTGCAGTTTGGTCCCCAGCCCTGGTCGGGGTCATATGGGAGGCAGCCAATAGATATGTCTCTCTTGCATCGATGTTCCTCTCTTTTTCTCCCCCACCTCCCACTCTATCTGAAAATAGGTGGAAAAATATCCTTGGGTGAGGATTAAAAAAAAAGACCTTGGAATATGGTTGGCAAAATGAGATAAAATACATTATTCTAGACATACAGAAAACTGACTTGGTCATGAGACAGATAATCCTGCTGACTTGCACAGAGTCTAAGCACTAGAAGGATTCTGAGAAGGGAAAGATAGGTGTGGGTAGAATCTGGATTGGGCTACAAAAATAACTATTTTTCATTTATTCTACAAACATTTATTAAGTACTGGATATGAAACAATAAACAAAACCAACATGGTCCCTGCTCTCGCAGAATTTACATCATTGTCCTCAGAAGGACCAAAATAAGTAAAGAAACAGCAAATAAAGTAATTACAAGTTGTAGTAAACACTATGAAAGAATTACACAAGGGGCTGAGACAAAAAAATAATGGGATGGAACCCTGGCCGGTTTGGCTCAGCGGTTTGAGCGTTGGCCCACAGACCAATGAGTCACGGGTTCAATTCCCAGTCAAGGGCACGTACCTCAGTTGCAGTCCATCCCTGGCCCTGGTTGGGTTGTGTGGGAGGCAACCAGTTGATGTGGCTCTATCACATCAATGTTTCTGTCTGTCTCTGTCTCTCACCCTCCCTCCCTCCCACTCTGTCTAATGATAAATGGAAAAATATCCTCAGGTAAGGAATAAAAAAATAAAAAATTTTTTTAAATAAGGGGATGGGAACTTACATTAAACCATGTTTGACAGAGCCCTGGCTGGTGTTGCTTAGAGGTGAGAGCGTCAGCCCAGTCAAGGGCATATACCTGGGTTGCAGGTTTGAGCCCCAGCCCTGGTAGGGGCATATATGGGAGGCAACCAATCAGTGTGTCTCTCTTGCATCGATGTGTGTGTGTGTCTCTTTCACTTTCTCCCTCCCTCCCTCCCTTCCTCTCTCTCTATAAATCAATGGAAAAAATATCCTCCTGTGAGGATTAACAAAAAAACACAAACAAACCATGTTTGTCAGAGAACACCTCCCTGAGACAATGCTGTTTAAACCTAAAGGAGGTCTCAAGGCCATGAAAGAGCAACCCATGTGAGAAGCAGAGGGAAGAGCATTCCAGGTAAGTGGAGCAGCATGTGCATGAGACAGGAAAGACAGGTGTGCTTGAGGAACTACATTCATTTGTTTGTATATTCATTCAACAAATATTTATTCAAGCCCTCTTATGCTCTTAACACTGATCTAGCTGCTAGAGGTATAGCAGTGAAGAGAACTGGCATAGTATACGCATAGAGAAACAAATGATTGGAAGTCAGTATAAAATGTGTGATTGGGTGTGGGGGTTGGGGTAAGGAACAAATACAGAGAGGATTATAAGTAGTTAGGAGGATAATTAGCCAAAATGGGCAAAGAGGGCATTCAGGAAAGGCATCCTGAAGCTGAGCCCTGAAGGGTGAGTAGGAGTCAGATATGCAACGAGAGGTAAGGGAAGGTAAGAGAGAGGAAGGGAAAACATGCAAGCAGAAGGAAAGCCTGTGCAAAGATAAGAGGTGAACGAGAACATGGCTTCTACTGGATGACAAGAATGTAGCAAGAAGTGGGAGGAATTTGCAGAAGAGGCTATAATTCAGAAGACCAAAGGAGTACAAAAATGGAGTGGTAGAACCCCTCAGATGATAAATGTGTTAAGGGGGAACAGTAAGTCTATTTGCCCAATAGGAACAGGGATTTGGTATTAGAAAATAGAGAAAGTAAGGATGTAAAACTACATGAAGAGGAAGATGATGCCACCATAATTATTGTCACTTGGGGAGCAAAGGAATAATAGTTGTTAACATTTCTTTGGTGCTAATTCTGTATCCGCCAAATGAAGTAGATTTTGTTATCATCCCCATTTTGGAAATTAAGAAATAGGTCCAAAGTAATGCCTCACAGGGTCAGAATGCTAGAAAAAGTCAGAGCAAGGATTCCCAACTCCGGAGCCTGTGCTCTTAATCAAAATATATCCCAGGTCAGGAAGGAAATATCTCAAGCACTTACTGCAGCCTGGACAAGTGGGAAGAGATCAGCAAAGGGGCTGCCACTAAGCAAGCTCTTGTCACCATGGAGTCACAGACTTTTGAATTTGAATAATATCTACCATTTAAGTGCTTACTGTGGGCCACATACTGAGATAAGTCTTGTATGTATTTCCTCACAATAACCCTGTTTTACAGGTGAGGAAACTAAGGTTTCAACAGGCAAACTAACTTGATAAAAGTCATAGAACTAATAAGTGGGAGAGCCAGGATTCCAGCTAGTCTGAAGCTGAGATGTAAAGTTTGTGCTCTTAACCACTCTGCTACAGTTCACTCTGAAAGGTTTTTGTAGCTTAGGAGGCCCTTAGAGAATATTGAATTTGTAATTGAGAAAACTGAGACTCATAAAGGGGAAGGGATTTGGGCAGCACAACAGTGAAGGTGAGAACCTGTCTATCCTGATGTCCAGTGGTTCTCCCCATTAAACCGTATAACTTTACATAATACAGAGGCATCATCTGATGTCTTTCTTTTGGTATTAGACTCAGACATCTCTGTCATCTCTTGACTCCCTGTGGGATCCCTCACAGATAGGTTCAGACCCCTGACCCACGAGGACCCCTTCAGTGAGGCCACTGTTAAGCAGCTGATTCAATCCATCCAGGAGTATTTTAATGGTGAGCTAAAGGTATGCACAAGCAATCTTTACAAGTTATCTAACTTATTTCTTCATTTTAACAATATTTTAAACATTTGGTATTTCTTTTAATAGAAATAATTTATAAGCTAGAAAATTTATATTTATACTTTTATTTTTATATTTATATACAAGTATAAATTATATTTATACTTATATTTATAAAAATTATTAAATTCCTATGAAAACCATAATAAAAATTCAAAGTTAATCTTTTAAAAAAATTTTTAAATCGTTATTGTTGAATGTATTACAGATGTTCCTCATTTTCTCCCCATTGACCCCCTCCTCCCCACTCCCGCCCCCCTCCTGCCTTTTCTGTGTCCATCAGTTATGCACATATGCAAATATGTAAATAAGTTCTTTGGTTTATTTCTTCCAACTCCCCAATCCCCCTTCCCTTTAAGGTTTGTCAGTCTAGCAATGAATTTGTACTTCTTAAACCCTTCCCTTTTTTCACCCATTCCCCCAACCCCCCTCCCATCTGGCAACCAACAAAATGTTCTCTATGTCTATGAGAATGTTTCTCTTCTGCTTGTTCATTTTGATTGTAGATTCAATTGTCGATAGATATGTATTCATTGCCATTTTGTTTTTCATATTTTTTATCTTTTTCTTCAAGAAGACCCTTCAACATTTCATATAATAATGGTTTGGTGGTGATGAAATCCTTTAGCTTTTCCTTGTCTGAGACACTCTTTATATAGCCATCGATTCTAAATGACAGCTTTGCAGGATAGAGTAATCTTGGTTGTAGGTTCTTGCTTTTCATCACTCTGAATATTTCTTGCCACTCCCTTCTGGCCTGCAAAGTTTCTTTTAAGAAATCAGCTGACAGCCTTATGGGAACTCCCTTGTAGGTAACTAGCTGCCTTTCTCATGCTGCTTTTAAGATTCTCTCTTTGTCTTGAACCTTTTGCATTTTGATGATGATGTGTCTTGGTGTGGGCCTCTTGGGGTTCATCTTGTTTGGGACTCTCTGTGCTTCTTGGACTTGTATGTCTGTTTCCTTCACCAAGTTAGGGAAGTTTTCTGCCATTATTGTTTCAAATAGGTTTTCGATTTCTTGTTCTTTCTCTTCTCCTTCTGGTACCCCCAAGATGCGAATGTTGGCACACTTGAAGTTGTCCCAGAGGCTCCTTACACTATCCTCATTTTTTTGGATACCTTTTTCTTTTTGCTGTTCTGATTGGGCGTTTTTTGCTTCGTTATATTCCAAATCAATGGTTTGCTTCTTGGATTTATGTACTCTACTATTGAATCTGTGTAAATTATTTTTTATTTAAGTTAAAGCCTCCTTCGTGTCTAACTGTGCCTCCATCATTTCTGACTGGTCCATTTTTATGCTCTTGAGGCCCTCACTAAGTTCACTAAGCATCCTTATAAGCAGTAATTTGAATTCAGCATCTGTTAGGTTGCTTATCTCCATTTCACTTAGTTCTTTTTCTGGGGTTTTGTTCTGTTGTTTCATTTGGGACCTGTTTCTTTGTCTCCTCATTTTGGCTGCCTCCCTGTGTTTGTTTCTGTGTATTACTTAATGAGAGGTATGGGGCTAGCTGAGACCAGATGCTGCTTGTTTGAAAGAATTTAGGAAAACCTGAAGCAGGATCCAAGACAGGCATGGTGAAGCAACCGGCAACAGCTTGGGTAGGCCTGAAACTTGGGTGGGGCGGGGCCTCAGGGAATCACCAGGGCTGAGCTACCATTGTGAGCCAGATTGCTGGAGTCCTAGGTATGGCTGCTGTCTGCCGCCCCAGGGAAGGGCTCACCAAAGGAACAGAGGCCTCTGACAGCATGTTTGTCCCCAAGAAAGCCCCCTCTGCAGCCCTCGCTCCAGTGCCAAACATCTCAGTTCTTCCCTGTATGTCTCTGGTGCCCCTCCAGCTGCCTCCCCTCCAAGCTTAGAGGGAGGAGTCTGATAAGTCCGTGTGTGGGCCTTTTAAGAGGAGTTGCCTGGGGCTCCAGCTGCATCAGCTTCCCTGAGCCTCAGTTCCCAGCCAGAAGTTATGGGGACTTCTCTTCCTGGCACTGGAACCCTGAGCGGTGTGCCTGGTGTGGAACAGGGACCCCTCAGTCCTCAGGAAGACCTTCCCAGCCAAGTATCCTCCTGATTTTTACACACGTGGGTGTGGGACCAGCCCATCTGCCTCTGCCCCTCCTACCAGTCTCGATGTGGCTGCTGCTTTAATTCCGTAGTTGTACGACTTCCATTCAGCTTGATTTCAGGCGGTTTTGAATAATGGTTGTTCTGTAGTTTAGTTGTAACTTTGATGTGGTTGTGGGGGGACGCGATACCGCGTTTACCTATGCCACCATCTTGACCGGAAGTTCTGTAAATTATTCTTTATTTCAGTTAGTGCCTCCTTCATTTCTGACTGGTCCTTTTTTATGCTCTTGAGGCCCTCACTAAGTTCAGTGAGGTTCTCACTAAGTTTATTGAGCATCTTTATAAGCAGTATTTTGAACTCAGCATCTGTTAGGTTGCTTATCTCCATTTCACTTAGTTCTTTTTCTGGGGTTTTGTTCTGTTCTTTCATTTGGGACCTGTTTCTTTGTCTCCTCATTTTGGCTGCCTCCCTGTGTTTGTTTCTGTGTATTACTTAACGAGAGGTATGGGGCTAGCTGAGACCAGATGCTGCTTGTTTGAAAGAATTTAGGAAAACCTGAAGCGGGATCCAAGACAGGCCAATCCTATGGTTAAGCAACTGGCAACAGCTTGGGTGGGCCTGAAACTTGGGTGGGGCGGGGCCTCAGGGAATCACCAGGGTGGGGCAAACAGTGTGAGCCAGGTTGCTGGAGGCCCCAGTATGGCGGCCACCTGCTGCCCCAGGGAAGGGCTCACCAAAGGAACAAAGGCCTCTGACAGCACGTCTGTCCAGGAGAAAGACCCCTCTCCAGGCCTCACTCCAGTGCCAAACAGCTCAGTTCTTCCCTGTATGTCTCTGGTGCTCTTCAAACTGCCTCCCCTCCAAGCTTAGAGGGAGCGAGTTTGATAAGTCCGTGCGCGGGCCCTTTAAGGAGCTGCCTGGGGCTCCAGCCACCGCAGCCTCCCTGAGTCTCAGTTCCCGCTGGTTTTTCCAGCCAGAAGTTATGGGGACTTCTTTTCCTGGCACTGGAGCTCTGAGCTGGGTGCCTGGTGTGGTATGGGGACCCCTCAGTTTTCAGGGAGGACCTTCCCAGCCAAGGTATCCTGCTAATTTTGATCCGCCACACGTGGGTGTGAGGCGAGCCCACCGCGCTTCCGCCCCTCCTACCAGTCTCGATGTGGCTTCTTCTTTAATTTCGTAGTTGTAGGACTTCCATGCAGCTTGATTTCAGGCAGTTCTAAAGGATGGTTGTTCTGTAGTTTAGTTGTAACTTTGATGTGGTTGTGGGAGGACGCGATACCGCGTTTACCTACACTGCCATCGTCACCAGAAGTCCTAATCTTTCTTAATTTCACTCTCCTGAGATAACTACTATTAACATTTTGGTATATATATTTTCATAATTTTTTTTCTGTGCAGACTAATGAATGTAATTATAGGAAAAAAAATCAGAAAATGGTGGGGGAAAAAATTTCTAAGTCAATAATGAAAATCTGTATTATCCTACTTAATACAGTATTTCATTGTGTTTAGGTGAAACATTCATTCATTCATTTGTTCATCCCGTGAGAGTACATAACAGAAGAATTTGTCTTATCCTGGGAGTAAAGAAAGGCATTTCTGAGAAAGTAATCCTTGAACTCAGGTCTGAGGAATTAATAGGAGAATAGAAGTTAGAATTAGAGTGTTCCAGAAATAGGAAGTGGTGTTTAACAACCTTGCAGCAGAAAGGGGGAGAGCATGTTTAATGAACCCAAAGAAACCTGGGATGTTTAATCCTAGTGTTGAAGGTGTATCATTTGTCAACAGACACTTAGGTTTCCATAGTGCAGTGAACAGTTCGTTTTTTTTTTTTTATATATATACATATACATGGATGTTTTTGGTTTGTGAAAATTCATCAAGCTTTACATTTTCTTTATGTGTAATACCAATAAAAAATTTAAAAAACACTTAAAACCAGAATGTTGGTCTTCACTTTTGACTCAGACTATTCATGTCATAAAGGATTTCTTTATAGTTAATAATGGGATTGGATTGCTGCACTGAATTGCGGGGAAGGAGGGAATGTCTATTTCCTGCCTGGGTGTGAATCCACAGCCAGTCAAGGAAGTAGATGAATTAAGAAGGTAATTTTGTCAGAGTATTACAAATGCCATGATAGCAATATACGCATGTAGTTAGGAATACACTTAGGAAGGGCACCTAACCCTGCTTCAGGATGCATGATCTAAGTCTTAAAGGATATATAGATTTTAGTCAGTAAACAAAAAGGAGAAAGGTACTGAATTCAGAAGGTGCAAAGACCCAAAAGCAAAAAAAAGGGGCAGCATTAAAGTTAATTTGGCCAAAGTTCAGGATGCTGCCAGGCAAGGTGAGAGATGAATTTGAAGAGATTACCTGGGGTCTTCACATTGGGAAGGGCCTTGACCACCACGTGCTATTGAAAAATTTTTTATAAAGAATTACCTAGTCAAATTTGCATTTTTTAAACAATGAATTTGGTAATAGCTGGAGAAATAGATTGGAGAGAGGCAAAATTAGAGCAGGGAAAACTAGTGTTGCATTCTTATATTAATCCTGGTGAGAGAGAATCAGGCCACAAAGTCAGTTTCTTGCTCTGTATTGCTCCTTGCTTTCCAGAGAGCTTATACCAGTTTTATACCATCTATATACAGGTGAGGGGCAGGGGAAAGACTGGAAGAAATTTTCTCAAGATTGTGGAATTATTGGTCTTTTATTTTCTTCTCTATATTTTACCAAGTTTTATGATAAATTGATAGGGCTTTTATATTTAGAAAAAGACAGTAATACAAAAAAGATTTTGTTCTTCAAACCAGAACTTGCATTTTTATAGAAAATGGTAAAGACTCAAAATAATGAATCTTTAATGACATCAAGAGAGCTAGCAGTAACAGCATCAGAGGTCACCTTTAGGAAGCTTAATCAGACAGCAGTATACAGGGCGAGTAGGTGAGGAAACAAAGACTAAAGGTGGGGAAAGCCAACATGCAGCACTTAGAAATCCAGCTGTGAGGGAAAGCGAGGTCACAAACCCAGATAGGGCCAGTGGACAAGGAATTCAGTCCTCTGTAATTTATTCATTCCTCATAATAAAAGACTGATACTGAATTGAATGAGATGACAGATGTTTAAAACATTCCAAGAAACTTCAAAAGCGCTCTATAATTACCAAGTGGGATTATAATCTATAATTGTGTTCTTATTATTTTTCACAAATTCAGAGTGAACACGAGAAGCTGACATACCTAAGATCTTTGTCTTCTCTCAGCCAAACTTTACCTTATGATGAAACTACAGAATCATTTATTCACAGCCACATCGCAGACATTGTGCATATCCTATATGTAAGTATTGTGACTTTACCACAAATTATTCTCGGGACCATGCAAATTCAGTGATCTGGCTAACAAATTTTTTAGTGGCTTTTCCTATATTATTGATTCCCGTATCCTTTTCTCATATCAGTATCTCTGCATGGAGGAGAAATACTCAGGGGTATTCCACAAATGTACCACAGGACCCAGCAAAAATAGCATGATGCCAAAGTTCCCCTTTCACAAGAATTGGCAGCAGTGAGTTGCCACATGATTTAACCAGCCAGCTTAGAATATCCACAAATACAAGTCTCAGACAGCACACTGAATTTCCCCGTGCTCTGCACCTGTTTATGTCCAGCCAGTAATAAAATACTCAACTGTCAAATAACAACCAAACTGTGGGCTGGCACAGGGGTCAGCCTAGAAGAGTTAAGAGTAGTTGGTATTCGTGAGAGAATTGCATGGATTATTGCATCATCATACAAGTCTACAAAGTCTCTGCAAGCCCATGTGCAATGGCTAAGAGAGTACAGTGCCTAACAACCAAGAGGAGAGATGCCCAATGAGAGGGAGTTCTGCTAAGGAATCCACAGGAGGAGAAAGCCAGAGTCACTATAAAGAAAGAAAAATTTTAATGCATTTTCCAGTCTTATGACCCAGACCACTGCATAGCTCTTCAGAATCCAAATAAAAAGAGCCAAGGAAGTGCCCCAGCCGGTTTGGCTCAGCGGTCAGAGCGTCGGCCTGCGGTCCAGAGACCCAGGTTTGGTTCCCGCTAAGGGCACGTACCTTCGTTGTAGTTTGTCCCTGGCCCTGGTTGGGTCGAGTGGGAAGCAGCCACTCGATGTGTCCCTTTCACATCGATGTTTCTCTCTGTCTCTTACTCTCTCTCCCTCCCACTCTATCTGAACAAAGGATGGAGAAATGTCTTCGGGTGAGGATGAAAAAAAAAAAAAGAGCCAAGGAAGCTAAGAACAGATATGGAAAGTAAGTAGAAAATCTGTTATAACATTTTGCCAAAGAAGATGTATAAATAAACACACAAAAAGATGCTCCATCATTGTGATTAGGGAAAAGCAAATTAAATAAAAACTCATCACCTGACTGGTGTGGCTCAATGGTTGAGCGTCAACCCACGCATCATGAGGTCACCAGTTCGATTCCCAGTCAGGGCACATGCCCAAGTTGTGGGCCTGATCCCCAGGTGAGGGCATGCAGGAGGCAGCCAGTCGATGTTCTCTCTCATCGCTGTTTCTCTCTCTCTCTCCCTCTCCCTTCCTCTCTCTCTCTAAAAATCAAAAAAAATTTTTTTTAAAAAACAACTCACTTGCCCCTGGCTGGTTTGGCTCAGCGGTTGGAGCATCGGCTTGCAGACCACAGAGTCCTGGGTTCGGTTCCCACTAGGGGCACATACCAAAAAATAAATAAATACATTTAAAAAAAAAACACACAAAAAAAACTCACTTATATCTACTAAGGCAGAAAATAGGACCATTCGAGGAAACTTGGCAATGATTGTTGTTGCTGTGAAAATAAGTGAAGTCCTAAAGCAGAGAGGTCTCATACTATATCATGTGCAGAAGAATCATCAGCAAATTTTTTAACTCACTCTCCAGATGCTGAATCAGTGAATGCCAGTTCTCAGAGCAATCTTGAGAACCATCTGTGGAACATGGTAAGCCTTGGACTCAAAAGACTGCTTAGAGCTAAGCCTCCTCTCTGTCTACCAGCATTGAACTGAAAGGTGCACAAGAAATAAACTTTATTGGGTTAATCCCCCCCAAAAAAACTATAGTGAAATTCAACTATACACCCACTAGAATTGCTAAAATAAAGAAGGAAGTTAATACCAAATGTAGGTGAGATATGGTACAACTAAAACTCTCATACACTGCTGGTGGGAATGTAAAAATGGCACAACCACTCTGGAAACAGTTTGACCTTTCTTAAAAAGTTATACTTACCATATGAATCAGCAATTCCACTCCTAGGTAAAATGAAGTGTATGGCCGCACAAAGGTATGTACATGGATATTCATTGCAGCTCTGTTTTTAATAGCCAAACACTGGACACAGCCCAAATGTCCATCAGTAGATAAATGGATAGACAGATTTTGGTATAGCCATACAATGGAACACTATTCAGCGATAAAAGGGAATGAACTATCAATACATGCTACAACTTGGATGAATCTCAAAATAATTACACTGAGTGAAAGAAGTCAGACAAAAGAGAAGATATACTATGTGATACCACTTATATAAAATTCTAGAAAATGCAAACTTATCTATAGTGACATCAGGTCAATGGTTTCCTGGAGGTAGAAGCAGAGTGGGAAGATGTAGGAGGGAGAAATTACGAAGTAGCACAAGAAAACTTTCAGGAGTGATCCATTTGTTCATTATTTTGATTGTGGTGTTAGATGTATACATATGCCTTTTAGACCTAACTGATTTTATTTATTTATTTATTTATTTATTTATTTATTTATTTATATTTTTAATTGATTTTAGAGAGAGAAAGGGAGAGAGAGATAGAAACATCATTGAGAGAGAAACTTTGATCACCTGTCTTCCGCACACCCCCTACTGGGGACTGAGCCTGCAACCCAGGCGTGTGCCCTGACCCAGAATCAAACCTGCGACCTCTTGGTGCATGGGATGACACTCAACCAACTGAGCTACACCAGCTGGGCTAACTGATTAAAAAAGAAAATGAGCCCTGGCCGGTTTGGCTCAGCGGTTAGAGCGTCGGCCTGTGGTCCTGAGAGACCCGGGTTCGGTTCCCGCTAAGGGCACGTACCTCGGCTGCAGTTTGTCCCCGGTCCTGGTTGGTTGTGCGGGTGGTAGCCACTCGATGTGTTCCTTTCACATCGATGTTTCTCTCTCTCTCTCTCTGTTCCTCTCTCTCCCTCCCACTCTACCTGAACAAAAAAATGGAAAAATGTCCTCGGGTGAGGATCAAAAAAAGAAAAAAAAAGAAAATGAACCCGGCCTGTGTGGCTCAGTGGTTGAGAGTTGACCCATGCACTAAGAGGTCACTGGTTCCATTTCTGGTCAAGGCATATGCCCAGCTTGTGGGCCCAATCTCAAGTGGGGGGCATGCAGGAGGTGGCCAATTGATGTTCTCTCTCATCAATGTTTCTCTCTCTCTCTAAAATCAATAAAGAAAAAATATTTTTTTAAAGAAAATGGAAAGGTTATTCTGGCAGAAGTGGTCAAATAGGCTGAAGTCAGAAGGGAATGCAGGCCTGCTGGTTTAGCTAAGGGGGCGCTGCCTTCATCCACATGTGAGGTGTATGGCTGCAGGAATGGAGAATCAGAAACTACAGAGCAGGGAGTGGCTGTCGCTGTGATTGATTGGATGAGCGAAGTGAATAAAGGAGAAAAAAGTCATAAACCATTTTTTATAAGCCCTGGGACAGAAATTGAAGGCTGAGGTTGGGGTGGAGGGGAAATAATGAACTCACTTTTTTTTTTTTAACTCACTTTTTAATACCAAATTTGCCAGGTTGTGGCTGTGATCTTAGTGGTGATGCCTCTGAGATAACTAGATTTGGGCCAGTAAAGCCCTGGGAGGCTGAAGGCTGAAGTAGCACTGTTATCTCATTTTACAGATGAGGAAACTGAGGTACAGGAAGGTTAGATAACTTGTGTCAGCTCAAAGAGCTAGTAAGAGACAGTCAGGCCTCAGGGTCTGGCTCCAGAGAATAAACTCCTAGCCTGACCTCTGTCCTGCTGCCAGGCCTGTGGAGCCGAGGAGCAGAGCCCTCTAAGGACCTGTTCTTATCCTTGCAGACCACCCACATCTCTGATCATTTGGCCTAATGACTTGGTACATTCTCGACTCTCTCTCCTAAATTTCTTTCCCTCTGATTACAGATTCTGGTGGAAGAGGAACCCCTGCATTCTATCTTCAGCCCTGTGCGCCAGGAGGTTTTTGTCACAATTACTGACCTCAGGTGACTCCCACATGCCCTCTGCATATGCGTCCTGGTTCTTCATTCAGGGCCAATGGCAAAGCCAATTGATTTTTCCACATTTTTAACTTCTCAAAACTATTTAGATAGAGAAGTGGAAGCCAAATCCATGTTTTGTGTAAGAACTTTGATTTCATGCATGCTACCATTGTATCTGAAAGAGCTTATTGGAACCTCCTTAGAGTTCAGTTTTGTCCAAAGTATATTCGGGAAAGTTACTACGACATCTACTTCATGACAGAGTTCCACAGTCCAAGAAATGTGGAAGGGCTGTCTTCTGTTTACCTTTCTTGGAGGTTTGTGCTGTACATTAACTGATTAAAGGTCCTGAGAAGTCCTATAGTTAAAAAGGGTTTAAGTGCTCGCTTCGGCAGCACATATACTAAAATTTGAACAATATAGAGAAGATTAGCATGGCCCCTACGCAAGGATGACACGCAAATTCGTGAAGCGTTTCATAATATATATATTAAAAAAAAGGAAGGGTTTGAACTTGGTTTAACCTACCATCCCCCAAATTAACACACACTTGGCAGAACGCACTTTGAAAAATCGTCCTTTACTATATTAGACTATAGCAGGCTTCTCTTTCATGATTGAACTGGAGGGAAGCCTGGAGGATGTCACTCCAGTGACCTCCTGGGGAGGTATGGAGGGTAAGGGGAGAAGGATGGAGGCTCTGAGCCTGAAACTCTTTCTCTAACCTTTTGTAGGATGTACCTAAACAGACTGACAAGCATGCCGTTTATCTCTTCCATCAGAAGGATACATCAATCAGTCTACCCTTTCCTTTTGAGTTACTTTGATCTCTGCTTATCAATGTCAAGTCACACTGTTCCCAGCTTGCTATTCCCAAACTGTCTTTTCTTAGTTATCAGGATGTCCATTTGCTGTTTGGCTCTGAAGATCGAGTTGACTTGTTCAATCTTATCACCAAAAGTATAATCACTCTGCCCTCTGAAAAGACTCTTACCCAGCTGCAGGGAATAATGCCAAGCGGATCCTGCAACTCAGAGGTAAGTTACACTTTGCTTTAATAACTGGCCATCCCCAGGGTCAGCTGATACTGGCCATTGGAGAGTGCATTTGTTTTTTGTTTATGTTTTTTTGGAACTAGCCCAAAACCGTTTAAGCCAAGTCTGGTGACTAGAATAGGTGGTTCAATTAAGTAGCTTTTGCTCGTCCTTATTTTGTCTTCTTTTCCCTTTCATTCCTTCTTTCCTTGCATTTGGCTTTAAAATAAGGTGGAGCATTCATACACTTAGCAGATGTTTAGGGTGACCATGTGCTAAGCATCATGATAGGCAACAGAAATAGAGCAGTGCACTCTCTGATCCAGGGAGCTCACATCCCAGTGCAGAGATGCAAACTGCTGGTAAATATAATATCAGTTGGTAATAAGTGCTATGAAAAAATAAAACAGGGAAAGAAGAGGAGAAGGAGTGCTGTGGTTGAGAGGCATGGGGGTGTTTTACATAGGGTGGTCAGGGAACGCTTTCCTGATGAGGTGACAGTTGAAGAGAGAGTGTGGACATCTCTGGAAAAGAAGCTTTCAGGCAGAGAAAAGAGGAAGCGCCTTAGGCTTTGAACTTTTTTCTGGCACTAGTAAACTAATTAATCATTTAGGCTCCCTTCATTTTTCAAGATGTCAGAAAGAGTCACAAGTCAAACTTCAAAAGTACTTTGATGCCCCTAAGTGACTCTCCAAATGTATTTAGAATCAGTTAACTGTGTTCAGAGTTATGTTGAGATGTCCATGTAATATAAATATATATTGTTTCACAAACTGCCTACCAGTACCTTTTGACTAGTTCTGTAATGCTAAGCAAGGTCTCGAGATCATGAGGAGAGCCTTAAAAGTGTACATTGTTGGGGAACTTGATATCGGGGTACATCAGTTATCCCTGTGCCTTTTCAGGGTCTCTACAGGCAGACGTTTCAGGTGTTCTCTGAGATGCTACAGAGTTTGGTGGTAAAAGACCCTCATTTGGAAAATTTTGACATCATTTTGAAGGTAAACAGGGTATCAGGAGAGAATGGGAAACTGTTTATATTAACTGGTGAAAGTGGAAGAAACTGTGGTAGGATTAAGGGTTTTTTTTGTTTTTTTTTATCCTCACCCGAGGACATTTTTCCATTTTTTTTGTTCAGGTAGAGTGGGAGACAGAGAGAGGAACAGAGAGAGAGAGAAAAACATCGATGTGAAAGGAACACATCGAGTGGCTGCCAGCCGCACAACCGACCAGGGCCGGGGACAAACTGCAACCGAGGTACATGCCCTTAGCAGGAACCGAACCCGGGTCTCTCAGGATCGCAGGTCAACGCTCTAACCGCTGAGCCAAACCGGTCAGGGCAGGATTAAGTTTTAAGAGATAGCATAATAGTTAAGAGTATCAGCTGTCCATTTTGAGTCAGACTTGGGTTCACATTCTGACTCTCTGTGCTTTGTTGGTTATCAATTCAGCAAGGAATGTGATTTTTTCAGAGTCTCATTCCTTCACCCTTTAAAAATGTATCATTATTAAAAGTATTACAAATGTTCCTCCTTTTTTCCCCCATTGACACCTTCATTTCTTCACCTTTAAATTGAGATAATAATTACTGTATTAAATAAATGGGCCTTCAGTAAGTAGCTTAAGTAGTTGCTGTATTCCTTAAATTAATATTGCTTATTACCATAGAAGGGTTTCAATCAGTGACCAGAGAACAGTCAGCCTCGTGAATGAGTAATTAGGCAGCTCCCTAACAGGTGAGATTGAAACATTAATACCTACCTGTCCCCACCTGTACCGGTCTCAGCTTATGTCATTCCATCATTAGAAATTTACTCACTGGAGTGCATTCACTATAGTTCAAGCATCTTGCTCTCTTGGCCCTTTTCAAGATGAAGATATCCCAGAAAGGAGTAACCCTTTAAACTATTATTAATTATTTGTGCCTAAATATAGATGGCCATTTATCTTTGCCACAATCAACCTTAACATTATTTCTCATTTCTCTTATTTTTGTACATCAACTCTGCAGCCAGATTGGGTTTCTCTCCTTAATCCAGTTGTGCCTTGTACTTTCCTGCCTTAGCAGCTTAATTCAAGCCCTTTCTTCTTCGTGAAGCTCCTCCTCATGGATATTATCTTGCCATGAATCCCTCCCTGACTGTTGCAGGCAGATGCAATTTTCCCATCCTCAGAGTTCTTTCATAGCATGTCATTAATTTCCTTTCTTTCCAAAGCAGGTCTCAGAAAACTGAAAACATACAGAAGAATAGAATAAATAATTGAAGAAAGTGGGATGAAGGGAAAATAAGTCTAGAAAATAAGCCCTTAAGGAAGCTGGACCACCTGGATCCCTAGGTCTTTGTGCCTTGTCTGTCATCCCGCCACTTTGATTTCCAACCAAAACTAGTTTATCATTTGGGAAAATATTTTCAGACATAATAGTCACATGTGGAACTTCTCTCTCCACATTTTTTTCTTTTTTCACCCAAGGACATTTTTTTCCATTTTTTGTTCAGATAGAGTGGGAGGGAGAGAGAGAGAGAAACATCGACGTGAAAAGGACACATCGAGTGGCTGCCACCCACACGACCCAACCAGGGCCGGGGACAAACTGCAACCGAGGTACCTGCCCTTCGTGGGAACTGAACCCGGGTCTCTCTGGACCTCAGGCCGACGCTCTAACCGCTGAGCCAAACTGGCCAGGGCTCTCCACATTTTTTTCAAATAGAATGATGGTGTTATCCCAGATCTTCCTGATAAATCATTTGGGCCCCCTTCATTTTTCATAGCACATGGACCCATGGTTACTGTCAATTGAAGACCATGAGCGGGAAAGAGCCGCAGCCACCATGGCTCGAGTTCTAAAGTGCTTATGCATGCATCTCAACTTGAAGGTAAGCAGCCCTTCAGTTGCAGAGAAGGAAGGATCTAAAGCTATCCTATTACTGTCCATTTCCCTTGCTATTTATGACTCCCAGACTGGTGACTCGTGTAATATCATGGCACTTAGTGTTATTCACGTATCTACCCTTCTCCTAAAATTCAAGCAGCATGAGGCTAGGTACTGTGTTTATTAATCTTACATCCCCATTGCTTAGCACAAGAACTAGAACATAACCATACTGTATAGTAAATGTTTTTGAATGAATAAATAAATGTAATCTGAAAATATCTGAGGGCCCACAGAGATAGCCACTGTTGACTTTTTTAAAAATTCCTTTTGAGCACGTTTTGTGCATGAGTGTGTTGGGTTGGGGGTTTCTACTTCAGTTCCTTCCAGTTTGTTCTCTTTATGTAGCCAGAGTAATCTTCTTAAAACCCACGTCACTCTTTTGATCCCATAATTTCCAACTGTTCTAAGAAAACAAGTCTTGTATGATCTAGCCCCTGCCTGCCCATCTGCACTCCCTGACTTACCCTTGCCACACTGGCCTCCTTTACATTCCTTACCATAAAAAGCTCTTCCTGCCTCATGGCCTTTGCACTTACTACTTCCTCTGCTTGGAATGACTTTCCCCAACTCTTCACGTAGCTAACTTCCCCTCAATCTTGAGTACTCAGTTTAAATGTTTCCACCTCAAAAAGGCCTTTGCTTACAAATAGATCTACCCTTGCTCTCTATCTCATCCCTCTCTTTCCTTCCCATGGCTTCTTAGAATCAGAAGTTATCTTGTTTGATTATTTCTTTTTTGATTTTTGGTTTATTTCCCTCTAATATAGTGGTTCTCAATCTTCCTAATGCTGTGACCCTTTAATACAGTTCCTCATGTTGTAGTTACCCCCAACTATAAAATTATTTTTGTTGCTACTTCATAACTATAATTTTGCTACTGTTATGTCTTAGGCAACCCCTGTGAGAGGGTCATTCAACCCCCAAAGGGGTCACGACCCACAGGTTAAGAACCGCTGCTCTAATAGAATGTAAATTTCTTCAGTGATCATGTTTGTCTTGTTTACCACAGCATCCCCAGTGCCTAGCACAGAACATGTTACAATAGTAGATGCTCAATTAAATATTTATTGAATAAATGTAGGTCAGCTTATGTTCCTTCTCTGCTCAGAATCCTCCAATGGCTTTCCAGCTCACACAGAATAAAACCCAAAATCCTTACATTATTTTCTAAGTTGCTATGTGATCTGGCCCCATCCTCATCTACCTCCCATTTCTTTTGCTCTCATTTACTTTGCTCTAGACAACCTAGCCTACTTGTTCCTCAGAAACACCACACACCGTCCCTTCTCTTTGTACTTGCTATTCCCTCTGCCTGGGATGCTTTTCTCCCAGATTTCTACACGGCTCAATCCCTCATTTTAACATTAGTGGCATCTTCCCTGACCATTATAAAATAGCAATTCCTATCCTTTTCCTGTACATCTTTCTTCATCATGGCATACGTCACAGTTTGATAATATAGTATTTTATTTATTCCTTTATGTTCCTCCAACAATAATATCACCTCTATGTGACATTCACTGCTTATATCCCCAGTTCCAGTCACAGTGCCTTAGCCGCAAGTCATACCTGGCTTATAACTGACACTCAGTATTTATCGATTGACTGAATGAATGAAGGCTATATCAGTGAATGAAAAATGTTACACAGCTTTGTGTATATGTTGCTGTGTTCACTGAAAATAGATTGTAGAGGCTATTGTTCACAATATCGCAGTGTATTTTTCTGAAGAGCCACAGAAGAAATTTCTTTCTGCCTCAATCCTAGAAACAGCTGTGCTTTCTCTGCATAGCTATTTACTTTTTATCTTATGGGCAATTTAAATTACATGGGACATTGCATTAGCCCTGAGAACATTCAGAGCTTAGCTCTGGTGCCTAGCTGCATGGCCTAGCTCAAGCAAATGATGACTCTACATTCTGCTAACCAAACTCAACTTCATTTATCTTTTCTGCCCTCATTTAAAAATTTATCCCACTTCTTCACTATTTATTTTATTATTATTATTATTATTATTATTATTTTTATCCTCACCTGAGGACATTTTTCCATTTTTTGTTCAGGTAGAGTGGGAGGGAAAGAGAGGAACAGAGAGAGAGAGAGAAACATCGACGTGAAAGGAACACATCGAGTGGCTGCCACCCGCATGACTGACCAGAGCCCGGGACAAACTGCAACCGAGGTACACGCCCTTGGCGGGAACCGAACCCGGGTCTCTCAGGACCCCAGGCCGACGCTCTAACCGCTGAGCCAAACCGGCTAGGGCTTCACTATTTATTTTAAATTTTATTTATTTTGTTGGTATGGTTTTTATCAGCTACTTTACTTTTTTTTCATAAGAGAGCAAACTATCAATAAATAAAATTTTTAAATAGTATTAAATGATCACCTTAACTTTTTTTCCAACTTTTTCATTTAGAAGACTAGCACATTTTCTACCTTATTATAAATTCCTAGGATACGTGATTCCTAATGATTATATTCATAGAATGGCTAAACCGTAGTTCTCTTTACTATTGGACAATTATTTTCAGTGTGGGCCCTTTAAAAACAGTGCTAGAATAAACATCTTTATATGCAACTTTTTCATGTTTCAGATTGCTTACTCAGCTTAAAAGATGCCACATTTACTATCATCTGACGGGTATTTGTATCCATACATGTTAAATGTTAACCCTAAAGAGATCCAAGGGCTGAATACAACTCTTGCACTTCTTTTGAATATGTGGTGGAAGTGGAATTACTTCTCAACAACTTAAATCTAAGGCACTAAATACACCTGTGTTCTAATAGCATTTTTCTTTTCTCCCTAACTAGCTTCCACTGAGATTCCAAAGACTTGGACACCTAGTGGCTCTGATGGTTCTACTGTGTGGGGACCCATTGAAAGAGGTGGCCGAGGAGGCTGCAAAGGGCATGCACTACCTGCTGCATATCACCTTACGGCTGAAGTGTAAGGCACTGCTGAAGGCAGCCAAGCTCTGAATAAATTCTCTAGCATAATGCAAGCACCAATCCTCCTGTGCCCTCACTCCCCACATCCTAGAAAACCTGTTTACAGTAGTTTATAATGAGAAAGGTATATAGTCCATAGGCAGGGATAAAGCAACACTGACTTAATAATTAGAGTCATAACACTGGATCAGACCCATCAGTGTCAGCCATGTACATGGCCATGGAGTTAAGCGTATCTAAACATGTAGCCCTGTGTATACACTGGAGTGATTAGGTTGGTCAGAAGTGGAGGAGGTTCTTGCCATTAGTTAGGGCTTCATTCATTTATTTGTCTCATAAATGTTTACTGAGTACTTACTTGTGATACAACAGTAACTAGAACACAAGCGGTCCAGTCCTTATATAACTAAGTCTAGTGAGCAAATCACAGAATCAAAAAATCAACAAATAACTGGTATTATAAATAAAGATAACTGCTGTGAAGGGAAATTACAGGGTCTATGAATAAAAATCAAATATAGTGTGGAGTTCAGAAAAGGCCTCCCTGAAGATAATCTGAAAAATAAAGAACATTAGCCAGGTGAAAAGGTAAGAAGAACGTACAAGGCAGAGGGAACAGCATGAGGAAGGGTTTTGGGCAGATATGATGAGCTTGAGGAGTTGGAAAAGTAGAAAGAAGGTCATTGTGGTCAAGGAAAGAATAATTCTTTGTTAGAAGAGACTTTAGAAGATATTGTGGTCAAGAATGAATCATCCCAATTAAAAGAGACTTTATAAGATATCTAACCAAGCATCCTCCCAGTGCTTGAGTCTCAGTCTACTTTGTCCCCACCAAGTAATTGGGGGCTCACTCATCCTAAGGATAAGGAAGCTCTGTGCTTCCTAAAGTAGCAATCTAACCTCTAGGCAGCTCTGAGTATGAGGACTGCCTACCAAGACATATAGTCAGGTAAATACAACTGATTATTCATTCAATAAATATTCATGAATAACTTACTGTTCTTAAGGGGTACACTGGTGAACAAGACAAACAAGGTCCCTTTCCCCAAAGAGCTTATTTTCTAGTTGGAGAGACAGTATCCTCAACTAAGGGCTCAAACACTTCCCATAGATAAATTTCTAGTGAACATGAGAAAAACAAGGCACTGTGAGGGAGTATGGGCACACTCAATAATCAGCAAAACCATACACATAAGAAGTTCTGGTGTCAGAATTATCAGACAGACAAAATTGTGCAATTTTTTGTGGGGACCTGAGCTTCATCGGGAGATGCCTCAAAAGTCCTTATCCATGGGCAATGGTTTAGCATGTCTTGGTTGTTCTAAATCATTCAGAAGCTCTGCTCTTACAAAAAAGCTTTTTCTTTTTCTTTCAGCCCTTCTCATTTATTGTCCTATAACAAGAGGGGAAATGAATCAGCCTTCAGATTAACAAACTCCTTCCCCAGGCATTTTTATTCAAGTGAAAAAAGACAAGAAGGGTGAGATCTGGGTGTTCATTTCAACCTGGAGATCAACCAGACTCACAAAATTAAGAAGGAAATGAGCCAGAAAGTATCAATATTTCATATTTTCTTCTCAGATATCACTGAGGACAAGAAAAATCACCCAGTCTTGAGAGGAGCAATAAAAAACTGTCAAGAACTCCTAGGAGTCTACAGTATTAAACAGTTCTACAATTGTCCCTTCACAATTGCCCAGGTAATCAGAATGGCAAAAATCATTAAGACAGACAACTTAAAATGTTGAAGAGGGTGGGAAACAACCAGAAGCCTCATACATTTGTTCATGGGAATGTAAAATGGTAAAAATACTTTAGGGAAAGGTCTAGCAATATCATATGGGGCCAGTGTCACTGTTTGGGTAGATATTCAGACAAGCTCTGCCCCCATTAATTGTCCTCCTAATCCTACCCAGCCTCTTATCACAAAAAAAAGCTGCAAGAGAATGTAGTTGATCCAAAAAGCCATACACTTTTTTTTTTTTTAATCTTCCCCTGGGGATGTTTTTCTATTTAGCTTCAGATAGAGCAGAAGAGAGAGAAAGGGAGAAAGAGAGAGAAACATTGACATGAGAGGGACACATTGACTGGCTGCCTTCTGAATGACCCCGACCAGGGCCAGAGACGAACCACAACTGAGGTACATGCCCTTGGCCAGTATTGAACACACAACTCGTTGGTCTGTGGGCAGACGCTCTACCACTGAGCCAAACCGGCCAGGGCAGCCATACACTTTTTAATTAATGTATTTATTCATTATTCACCAAATATTTAAACATCTACCTAGGTACCAGGCACTGTGTTGGGGATGAGGGTAAAAGAAAACCTATGGATCTTACTCATGTAGGGTCAAGGGTATCAAGTAATTTTAATTCTCTGTGCATCAGTTTCCTCATCTGTACAAGGGGGATCTGTAAAAATTAAGATAAACTCAAATGCTGTAAGGGTTAAATGAGATGCTTGTATGGAAAAAGCTTTGCTTAATGCCTGTCACATAGTAAGTGCCTAGTCAATTATACCTATTATAATCTGAGGAAGGACTTGATACACTGACAAGTGCGATGAGAAGCAGAATGAAACATTCTTTTATTACATTGTCTCCAGACAAGGTATTTTAGATATGCGGGACCCTGTCAGCTATATAGTACTAGGGCCTTTCCTTTAGTGCTGTTCCTATAGAAGTGTGACTCTTTCTGAGGATCTCAGTAATAAAGCTCCTTTCTAAAAGAGCTATAAAGGCCCATGCACAGACCCAGCAGTGGACATTTATGTTGCTTCCAGTTTTTCACTTTTATAAACAAAACCGAAGTAAACAGCATTGTACATATTTAAACACTTCTCTGATTGTTAACTTGGAATTGATTCCTTGTTCAGGGCTCTATCATACCAAATATCTTAGAAGTTCATTTTTACTAAATCATTTCAGATCTTTGAAGTTTTTTTCGATTCAAATGAGCTCAGCCAGTTTGTACTGACTGTACTGAATGGACTAAGAAACCTGAAACATCCCTATATCCAGAAATCAGCAGGAGAATTGTTGGTATCATTTGTGGAAAATGCGGAGTCCCAAATTGAGAAGGTAAAAAGCTCAGTGGCCATTTCCTGGGTTTGAAATATCGGCAAGACCTCTCCCTCCTGCAGCTGCTGAGATCTCATCTACTGCTTCTATTCAGCTGGGAACAATAAAGGAGACCAAGGTCAAAGCCTTAGTCCATTTGGTCAGTGTTGAACATTCATCCTTTCAACAAGTACATAATAAACAACCATTGTGTGTGCAACTAGGGAGGGAAGTTTTTTAAAATTCATATTCTCCAGAAGAGTCTTGTTTTTCTGGGAAGATATAATGAGCACATATGAGAATGGTAACTTCAATTTAGATCCTCATCCAAGTTAATTAACAGTGTCAAATTTTTAAAAATCAAACCATCAGTAATCCTAGACTAGGGCCTATTTAGTACGTATAAAATCAAGGAAGTTTATTTAAATGTATCTAAAATTGATACATCAAGAAACAACAATGCGCCCTGGCCGGTTTGGCTCAGCGGTTAAAGCGTCGGCCTGCGGTCCTGAGAGACCCGGGTTCGGTTCCCGCTAGGGGCGTGTACCTCGGTTGCAGTTTGTCCCCGGCCCTGGTTGGTCGTGCGGGTGGCAGCCACTCGATGTGTTCCTTTCACATCAATGTTTCTCTCTCTCTCTCTGTTCCTCTCTCTCCCTCCCACTCTACCTGACCAAAAAATGGAAAAATGTCCTCGGGTGAGGATAAAAAAAAAAAAGAAAGAAACAACAATGTAATTATATCACTTAGAAATATGGAGGGATATACTGAAAGAGATGAAAGTAGTTGTCTCTGGAGAGCAGACCTGGGGAGTAGGCAAGAGAGAGCCTTGAAATACCCCTGGACCTTTAAAATTGTGTGTACTTTGATAAAAGTGAATAGTAATTTTTAAATGATGAAAACCTATTTTTTAAAGCTATTAAAATAGCAAAGATGCAAAAAACAATATAATGAGAGCACAGTGAGATGGTCAAATATCAGCTGGGTGCTTTCAGCTATTAAAAAAACCAAAACTGTGAGAAGCTTAAACCAAGAGTTTTCATCTCACATAATAAGAAGTCTGGAAGTAGAGTATGTGTTCTAGGATTGGTTTGGTGACTCAAGTGTTATTAGAGAGACAGGGGCTTTCGCATCTTTCCACTTGGCCTGTTTATATAGCCATAAGGTACTTGCCACAGTTTCAGACTTTATGACCAAGTAAGACAAGACTACGCAGCGAAGAAGAGAGATGTTTTTCTTTTGTCCCTTTAATCAAAAAGGAAAGTCTTTTTCAATAGCCCCCAGTTGACTCCCTCATGTTTTACTGGCCAGAATGGCATCACCTGCCAACCTTAAACCAATTTCTGGCAACTGGTGGTAATGACAACCATTTTCTATGAGGGTGTTGAGGATTGCCTCTCTGAGATGCTAACATGTCCCCAGAGCCCTGAAGTCACAAGTCTAGGAGCAGGAAGAGTAGTTCAAGCAGAGAAATGGACCAAAGGTATGACTCCTCTGCCAATCTCAGAGTCGGAGTGAAAAAACCCTACTTTCCTTGCAACACTAAATGCAGTAGTTTGTCTTATTGTAAAATCAATACATAATTATTAAGGGAAAATTAGAAAAAAAATTAATGTCACTCAAAAACACATTACTGACATCTTTGTATATATGTTCTTCCAAATATCTTTACATGCATATACATACAGATATGTTTTATTTAATTTTATTTTTTAATTTTACTTTTTTTATCCTCACCTGAGGACATTTTTCAATATTTTGTTCAGATAGAGTGAGAGGGGGAGAGAGAGAAACATCGATGTGAAAGGGACACATCGAATGGTTGCCACCCACACGACCCAACCAGGGTTGGGGACAAACTGCAACCGAGGTACGTGCTCTTAGCAGGAACTGAACCTGGGTCTCTCCAGACCGCAGGCCGACGCTCTAACCGCTGAGCCAAACCGGCCAGGGCCAGATAGATATGTTTTAAGTAGTTTTGACAAACATTTAAAAAAATAATAAAGATTTTGTTTTAAAAGTCACCCCCAGGACCTTTCAGAAATAATCACAATATCCTCAGTAACTACCAATGTCCTATAGGATTAAGGTCTTAGTCACTTCTTTTCCCTCTTCAGGTGCCAGAAATTATGAGAGTTCTTTGTGCCCAGCTATCCATGATCAGCCAGCCTAGTATCCGCCAACAAGTCATAACCATCGTGAGTTTGTTTATCTCCAGGCCCAAGTACACAGATATGGTTCTCAGCCACCTTCTATGTTATCCAGTACCATATGACAGGTAACAGAACCTGGCACAGCCTCTGGATTAAATTTGGGTATGTGACACGTGTGTGAGTATTGTAGAATATGGTTGCCTTAAGAAATCTAATGATATTCTTACAGAGGAGGTAAGATATAAACAAGTGCCTGCAATATAAATCAGAATACAATGCATAACAATTAAACAGATTAAACAAATCCAGAATAAAGAACATTTTAGAAAATGATTGGACTGAACTCTTCAAAGAAGTTAATGTCACAAAAGAAATTGGTGCTGGTGGCACTGTTCTAATTTTAAAAAAGGAAAGAGACATAACCAAATGCAATATGCAAATTTGGATCATGAATGAAAAGCAAAAGCGATGATAAAAAATTAATACAAAACAGAAAAAAACACCCCACGATTATGCCAACTTCCCATTTTAAATGCTGGAAGGAGGTTTCAGCGGGGCAGGGAAGGAGAGAAGACATAGCAACAAGGGTTGTTTAGGAATAGGAAGAGGTAAAGCAGGATGCTCCTAATCCCCCGGGATGTGTAAGAAATCTGGGAGTTTCTGCCTGACCCCTCTGCAAAAAAAATAAAAATTAAAAAAAAAAAAAAATATATATATATATATGTATGTGTATATATTCTTTTGTATATTTCCCTAATACACTATTTTTAAATCTTTACTACTTGCTTCAGCTTAGCTACATTAGGTTCTTATATAAAATACATGATTTAGTACAAATATTAAATATATCTAGTTAGTTTAAGTGCAATTTTAGCATTATTCTATTGTTTGTGTTTGTTCTAGCTCTTGGACGACTTTGAGAATGAACTTCTGCTGTAGATCATATGAGAACGTGGAATCTATTAGAAATGGAAATGATTTAGGAAACTTCATTCTGATTATATTTTTGCTCATTTACCTGAAGTCCATTAGTTTGTTTACAGATCAGGGTAATTGTTCCTACGAGTCTGTTCAAAGCATCTACTGTGTGCAAGGTCCTGTTAGGCACTGGAGAAATAGTGGACAAGATGTGGGCCCTGCCCTCAAGCAGCACACCAACTGGTAGCAGACATAGATAAATAGCAGAGGATGCCAAACAAAATAACAGCGTTCTGTGGAAGCCCCTAGAAGGGGACTTGATTAGATGAAGGATTAGGAAAAGATTTCTGCAAGAAGAGCTGCCCATAGCTGAATTTTTAGTGTGAATTACCAAGTGCACAGTAGGATGGGGGAGTGAAAGAGGCATTCTAGACCGAAGGAATAGCGAAAATAAATGTCAGGAAGGTAGGAAACAATTTAATGATTGCTCATTCCCAAATGATGGGCAAACAAAAACAATGTCACATCTACAGAATCAGTATCACAGGAAATGAACCCTGTTCCATATTTTCAACGAACTCTCCAGATGATTTTTTTTCATAATATACTTTGGTTTATAGGCCTGTGTGTGTGTGTGTGTTCCTAATTCAAATGCATGCATTCCCAGAACAATTACAAATGTGCAGAACCCAAAGCATTTTGAAACATTTCTTTCACAATAAATAGTTTCTCAAGTAGTTTATTTACTTCTCCAGGAATTCAGAGAGAAAAATCAAGAGTATGTAAACAGGAATTTCTTAGTTTCATCCCAGAATGAATGTTAATATTCTACTATCTGTTTCCCTAGTCATGAGTCTTTTCAGTATCCCACATTGCCTCTAGCCTTCCCTTCAGGAGTCCTTTAGAAACTTACTTTGTTTTATTCACAGATAGAATTACAAAGTAAGAAGTGAAATATGGGAATAGTCATTAAGCCTCTCAATTTTTAGAGAGATTCTGAGTAGATAGTTGGAAAACCACACTTTACAAAAACACTGAGTCTAGCATACAGATACCTAGGTAGATTTTGAAAATAAAAGGATGGATTAAAATAATGAGAACTGGCCTGACTGGTTTGGCTTAGCGGCTGGAATGTCGGACCACAGACCAAAGAAGCACGGGTTCGATTCTGGGCAAGGACACATACCTTGGTTGCAATTCAGCCCCCAGCCCTGGTCGGGGTCATTCAGGAGGCAGCCAATCGATGTGTCTCTCTCACATCAATGTTTCTCTCTCTCTCTCTCCCACTCTATCTGAAGATAAATGGGAAAATAGCCTCAGGTAAAGATTTAAGAAAAAAGAAAGAAAAAAGCATGAGAACTTCCAATCTTCTCCTTCCCCTTAACACTCCTTCACAGTGTTTATATAACTCAGGCTTTACCTTTGAGTCAGCGGTAGAAGAGAAGTTATTACATGCTTATCTTCTAAGGAAGATCAAAGCTTTATTTCAGGGTTTGACCTTAGCTAACATTTGAAGACCATATACTGGATTGAATAAGCATGTCTTTGAATGCCTCTGTAAACCTGGCATTATGCTAGGCCCTGAGGGATTCAGAGAAGCCAGAGATGGTATCTGTGCCTTCAGAGGGAACAGGGAGACACACCTACAGAGAACTAACAATAGCACCTGTAAGACTGAGGCAACCTCTACAAAGAACAAAGTTTTAAAGTGTTATGGGCACTCTCACAAGCAACATGGTGAAGCAGTGGCAAAGGCTTCATAGAAGAGATGACATTGGGGCTGCACCTGGAAGGATTTTGATGGGCAGAGGAGGGTTTTGGAAAGAGCCTTTCAGTTTAAGGAAATGATATAAGCAAAGGTATAGGGGTTTCAAAGTTCATTGTTTATTTGATGAAGGTGAATGGTTTGGGGTAGCTAGAGCACAAAGTATGTGATAAGGAGGTTGTGAGACCGAAAGGGTAAGTCAGGGCCAGTTTGTGAATGGTCCTGAAGTCCATGCTGAGGCAACGGGAACTTCAGTCTATAAAACCTTGGGAATTACTGTTATGAAATCAGATAGTAAGTTATTTGCTACCCTGAAGAACTAAACAATAAGAAACTTCTTATAGATTAGATATAAACAGACTCTAAATACATTGTGATCATGATAGGCCTAAGATAGCCATTCTCCTGAAACTTCTTACTCTGGGATTTCTAGGAATCTGGCTGAGATTTGGAGAACTCTGAAGGTGAAGCTGCCCAGTACCACCGGGATCATGTCAAGGCTCCTGAGGAAGCTGCAGAAATACCACAATCAGCCCACCCAGGAGAAGATGGCCTATGTGGCTGTTGCTGTAAGCCATTGAGCTCTGCACCCCCAACTTCAGCCCGCCACAGTCCCCTCTTGGGATGACTGGGCCAACACCCTATCTGGAGAGTGTTCCTTTTGGTTCCCCTCAAAGTTTGCTTTTGTCATCTACCCATAAATCTACCGTGTCTTCCCTACTAACAGATTGACTTGGGTGGGGCTGGGGAGAGTGAAAAAATCAGTATGATTTAATAGTTTTAAATATATATATATTCACAATATATATATATTCATATTTAAGAGCAATACAAACATGTGGAAAAAATTTTCAAATAATACAGAAGACTATTAAATAGAAAACAAAGGTCCTCTTTAAGCAGAAGTGTGCAGATCTTTTCTGTAAAGGACCAGATGGTAAATATTTAAATTCTGACTATACTATCTCCCTAAAAATGAACTTTTTAGAAGTATTTATACATCTATGAGCTTTTTATATATTTATATATTTTATACTTTCTCCCCATTTTCCTCCATTTAAATAGACTTTAGTTTTTAGAGCAGTTTTAAAGCAAAATTGGCAGAAGGTACAGTACTCCCTGCCCCCGACCCACACAGCCTCCCCCACTATCAACATGTACTTTTTACTTCATTTTATTCCCTGCCAGTTGATGATTTCACTTTCCCTGGCTTTAGTTATCATCACACTTTTTTTAGCTTCCAAAAATATTTTGACATCTCTAGTTTGCGATTGTCTTCTCCCCTATTCTGGTTCTTGTGGGTGTATGCCTTTTTAAAAAATTCCTGTATGTCATTTTCGTACAGTTTTAGGAATTAGGGCAGGTAAAACTATTTAATTATATTAGTCTCTAAAATTGTGTGAGTATATACATATATGTAGAATCATAATACATATACTGTTTGATGACCCACTGTTTTTTATTTAACAATATATGAACTACTTTTCATATCAATATACAAGGCTCTCTGTTATATTTTTCATGTCTGCACAGTAATTTATTTTTAATTAACTTTTAAAAAATAGGTAATACATGGTACAAAACCATTTATTTTATTATCGTTTCATATTAGTGAACATTTTGACAATTTTTAAACTTTTGCCATTAAACCAGTGATGTAACAAACTTAATCATGCAGACACAAATTTTGTTATACTGTACACACCCAATTATTTTCTTAGGATAAAGTCCATTGAAGGGGAATTTCTAGGTCAAAGGGTGCACTTAGGTCAACTTTGGACAATTTTCCCAGGTGGTCCTCTAGAACATTGCCCGTCTACTAGTCATGCATGAGAATGCCCATTTACCCACACTCTCACCACATTGTGAATTACCAATCTTTTCATTGTTGCCTAGCTGACAGGTGAAAAGGGAATATGTTGTAACTATAATTTTGTTATTGGTGAGGTGAAACATCTGTATATGTTTTGTTTTGTTTTTTAATCCTTACCCGAGGATATTTTTCTATTTATCTTCAGACAGAGTGGGAGGGAGGGAAAGAGAGGAAGAGAGAGAGACACATCAACTGGCCACCTCCCGCAGGACCCCAACCAGCACCGGGACGAATTGCAACTGCGGTATGTGCCCTTGACCAGAATTGAACCTGAGACTCAGGTTTGAACCGCTGAGCCAAACCGGCCAGGGCTATGTTTTTTTTAATCCTCACCCAAGGATATGCCTTTCATTGATTTTTTTTTAGAGAGAGAAACATTGATGTGAGAGAGAAACATCAACTGGTTGCTTCCTGTACATGCCTCAACCAGTACTGAACCCACATCCTTGGTATGTGCCCTGACTGGGAATGGAACCCAAAACCTTTTGGTGTATGGGACAATGCTCCAGCTGACTAAGCCACCGGGCCAGGGCTGTATATGTTCTCTAATTGACTATTTATAATTCTTCCTTTGTGACTTGTCTGCTCACCTCCTGTATACCAGTGCTTCTCAGTTTTAATATGCATACAAACCACAGTCATCTAAAGATCTAATTGAAATACAGATTCTGATGCCGGTCTTCGGTAGGGCTTTTGATTCTTCATTTCTAACCAGCTCCCAAGTGATGCCAGTGCTACGTCGGAGGCCCACACTTTGAGTAGCAAGCCTTAACATTGTCTTCTTACTGATATGTGAGAGCATTTTATATATTAAGAGTATCACACTGATGCAAATACTTTTCCAGGTTATTTGTATTCTACCTTTGTTTATGATAACTTTCGCCCTGACTTTTTATTTCCATGCAGTCAAATAAGTTAATAGTTTCCTTTATAGTTTATTTCTGGATTCAGGACTCCCCTCACTCTTTGGTAACTTTAATGACCACTTTACTCCTATTCCTTTCCCCCCTCACTTCCATGTCCCTGCACTGAGTACCACTACTGCTCTGCCTACGGGATAGTAGAACCAGAAAGCATGTTCTGGCGCAAGCAGAAGTAAAACATAAAGAAGAATCGGGGCAAGCATGTTCAGCTCCGCTGTGTGCCTTTTCTACCACAGGCAACAGATGCCCTTTATGAGATGTTTATGGGAAACAAGTTCCAAGAAGCTGTGTCCCAACTCTTTCCTCAGCTTCTCATGACATTGCTCATCCAGATTCACCACAGCATTGGCCTCACCATGTCTGATGTTGCCATCCCAACTGGCCTGTACACAGAGCAGAAAACGTCTTCAAGGGTCATCCCTTTGTGGTACTGCCTATTATTATTTTATTGACCTTAACTAACACTTCTAAGCACTGGGCACTGGAGTGGACACAGGATGGCCAAGATATGGTCCCAACTGTGGGAGAGCTTACAGTCCGCTACCCTTATGAGACATCAGAATGAAATGCCCAGGAACTATTCTGGCTCTCATTGGTTGTCCTTGTTTTTTTGTTTGTTTGTTTTAATATGTTTTTCATTGATTTTTTTAGAGAGGAAGGGAGAAAGAGAGAGAGAGAAAAACATTGATGAGAGAGAGACATCAACATCCATCGGCTGCCTCCTGCACGCCCCCAGCTGGGGATTGAGCCCAAAACCTGGACATGTGCCCTGACTAGGAATCAAACCAGGACTTCTCAGTCCATGGGACAATGCTCAATCCACTGAGCCACACTGGCCAGACAGTTGTCTTTGGTTTTATTGGTGTCAAAGTAAATTAGGCTATCTGGGTTCAGATGTCCTTCAAAATGAGGTGTGATATCATGCTAGCCTTTTCTGATAAATCAAATAGAGACGGAGACCAGCAAAACCACCTTAAACCCACCTCCAAAATCATACTGAGCCACAATTAGACAATTTCTCATTTCTGCTGTATTGCATAGAGAGGTATTTTTAGTACCCCATCAGGGTATTGGTAGATATTTGTTAGTGTTTCTGTGGCACATGGATTTCTTTCAAAGGAAGTGCTATAATGTGGATTATTTAAGAACACACCTGACTAAAAGTCAGGAGAACTGAGTTCTAATTCTCATTCATTTATCTAGTTCTGTACTCTGGGCAAATATTTCTGTTGTTCAATTTCCTTATCTGTAAGTGAGGTCAGGCTAACACTGGGCACCCTTCCAGCTTTAAGATTCTCTGAGGTTATGTCCAGGATACTATTTCAGTAAGTAGTTTTAAAAAGTAATGGGGTAACCCAGCCAGTGTGGCTCAGTAGTTGAGCATTGACCCATGCACCAAGAGGTTGCCAGTTTGATTCCTGGTCAGGGCACATGCCCAGGTTCTGGGACAGATCCCCAGTGGGGGGCATGCAGGAGGCAGCCAATTGATGTTCTCTCTCATCGATGTTTCTATCTCTCTTTCCCTCGCCCTTCCTTTCTCTCTAAAATCAATAAAGAAAAAAAAGTTTTTTAAGTAATGGGGTAATTTTTATGGGGTATAAATACATGGTATCTAAATAAATATTTTTTTAAAAAAGCAGTAGGTATCAGTTTAGCATCCCATATTATTTGTTTCATCATAGATTTCTTTCCAAATCCCAGGGAAACAAAGACTGGTTAGATTTCTTTATGCCTATTATTTGTGTGATGGGCCTTTCAAGTTATTAGAGCATTCAAAGTCTTTTGGGAGATGTAGAAAGAAGAGAGTTACAGTTTGGCTCTCAATACATGGCCCTCTTCTGTGAGAGCAGGGTAATTGTGTGCTGATGAGTTGGAGGAACCTGTTCTATTCACTTGTACTGTTTTTGTTTGCTTTATAGCCTTGCCATACAGGCTACAAAGACTCTCCTCCTCAGAACACCGTGCTTGCAGGAATTCAACATCATGGAAAAGAGTAAAGGATGGACCCTCCTGGCAGAAAAAGAGTGCCATCTTCAGGGGGTATCTCTCCTTGCCAAGTAAGGCTTCCTTGATGAGCGTACCTGCTCTAAATAGCCTTGTTTTAAGGCACCCCCCCTTTAGTTGCCACAACTAAGGTTGAATAACCTCCTCACAGGGTGGCCAAATACCCATAATGCCAGGCAGATTTTTCAGATGTCCTGGCCCTGCCGTACCCTCCTGTATACCTGAAGCTGGGCAAACAGTTCATTGGGTCCCAAACCCTGGGGAAAAATGCTCTCTATATAGGAACATTTCTAAGAGCTGTTCTGTCCATGTTCTGTTTTGCAGTGCATTGCTGGAAAGAAATTGCTTCGTTGCAAATAAGATCTTGTACTTGTTAGTCCCTCTTCTTAACCGAGGGAATGAGAAACATAAACTCACGTCTGCAGGCTTTTTTGTGGAGGTAAGACTCATTCCTTAGAAGCTGGCTTCAGGCAGCCTATAAAGCAGCAGGCCCTGCCTTCCTAGGCCCTTTCCAACTTAGTTGCAGGCTGTGATCGTTTCAAACTTGAAATAGAAATAGTTTCAGATTTAAGCCCATTGAAATTCTTCTTCCCACATATCCATTATTCAGCATTATGTACCCACAGTGTAAGCATCACCCTGCCATGTATGTCCTGTGTAGGAGAGGTTTTATAGGTATAGAATTTTGGAGATAGTAGGAAGGTGGCTCCTCTCATGATAAAGGGCTTAAAGTTAACTTCTTTGATTTCTGGGTTCTTTCAGCTTCTCCAGAGTCCAGTGGCTAGGAGACTGCCCAGCATATACTCTGTTGCCCGCTTGAAAGACTGGCTACTTCATGGAAATAATCTCTTTAAAATTCTTTCCCTGAGGGGACTGTACTACCTTATCAGAAACAAGAATATGGTAGGAGGGGTCCCCAGACCACTGATTCATAAGTTACAAATAAAACATACCCAAGAAAGATACACAAGAAACGGGTGACTGCTGAGGAGGAAAACTGGATAGCCTGGGTGCGTGAGTGGGTGGGAATACATACCTTTGTACCATTTGAAATGTATACCTAGGAAATATGTAAGTACAGACTATTACACATTTAATGAAATATTTTTTTAAAAGGCCAAGCCACACATATTCATAATATTTGAAACCTGCAATTTGTGTAGGTTTCAAATCATTATCATCACAACCTGGGCAACATTCACGTGTCCTATTATGCCTTGTACCATGTTGCCTTATCATCTAAGACAAAAGTTATTGACATTCATGTTGAAAGCTCATTTCCCCCAAGCCTCACCAGACACTAAACCAGGTCAGAAGAGAAAACTAGCCCCTGAGGCTTCAATTTTATCACTTCAGTTCTATTTATTTTATTTCAAATACCTATATCTCTGAAACAAATTCTGGTTGATTGGATATGTGAATATTTGTGGCTTATTCTATTTAATTTATACATGTATGTTTTAAACTTTAAAACTCCAAGCCCACTCCCTTTTGGGGGTTTCTGAAGAGTAGAATCCCAATTGACAGTGGGAAGGACTCTTGTCAGTTTTCTGCTTGAATTCCTCCAAGGAATCTTTTAGCCTCTGTTTGAACATCTTTCATGCTGGGAAACTCGCTGTTACCTGAGCTAGCCATTTCTCTCTCACTGTTAAGTGAGCAGTTCCTTACAGTAAGCCCAAGTCCATATCGCTGGGCCCTCACCTGGCCCCACTTCTGCCCTGTGAGGCAACTCACAACAGCTCTGCTCCCTTTTCTACCTGTCAAGCCCTGCCAATACTGAGGGAGGGCAGTCATGCCTTCCTTACTTCTGTGTTCCTAACTAGCCTGGGCTACCAAAAATTCAATAAGCACTAGGTACTGAGTAAAGGTGGGGGAGCCCTACTTTGGTTCCAGATGAAGTGCTATCAGGAGAGGTGGTGATGGGTTCGCTCCCTTTGGACACACAGAGGGAAGACATCAAGAGCATGTTGCCCTGCATCTTAAACCAGTTATGTGAAACTGATGAGAAGATTGTTTTATTGGCCATCCAGATACTCCTGCAGCTTGTTAGTACAATGGATTTCTCTACCCTGACTTCCATGATGGGGATGCTGTTCTCCTTATTTGGTGATGTAAGACAATGAGAAAGGACAGACTTTCCCAGGGGGAGGGTAATTGGCATAACAGCAAATAGAAGTTGGGATAATAATACACTCTATTTTGCATAGTACTTTTTATGTTCAGAGCACTCTCAAATCTCCTCTCTTAGGGTCATTCCAGGTAACCCGTAATGTTGGTAGGGTTGGTGTTATTATTTTTCAGGTTAAAAAAAAAACCTGAGACATAGAAACGTGCCAAGGTACTCCCCTGATTCATGGGATGGGGAAGGAGTTTCTATAAGGAAAGATATTATCTTTCCCTTTAAGTAACAATCAGGACTGGGTCAAGGTGATCCCCATCCCAAATCATAAAAGATTTTTCAAAAAGAAATACACAAAGCACAATGAACCACATCCTTGGAAGAGTCAAATATGCCAAGGCTGGGGTTTTGAATTTCAGTACAACAGCTGTGTGGATGTTTAGTATCCATATCAGGTACAAGGTGTCGATGGCTGCAGGTAGGACTGCACCCATTTCTCACATGTAAAGTCAGAGAACAAGTAGTACAAAGCAGCAGGTCTTGCTATCTCCATGTATATTTGGTTTCTTGCCCTCAGTTACCTACAGCTAAATAGCCTCATGTTAGGACTAGCTTTCAGCCAACCTAGAGCTCTTATAAGCTAAGCATGAACACTTCCATTGAGTTGCTTCTCTTTGGATATTCCCTTCATAGGTGAGATCTGATGTTCATCATTTCTCTATGACCCTCTTTGGAGTCTCCATAAAGTCTGTGAAACACACAGATAAGAAGGCTGTAGAGAAACAAGTCCTGGACAGCTTGGTCCCACTACTTCTATATTCTCAGGATGAAAATGATGCATTAGCTGAGGTAATGCCTACTGTCAACTTGTTCCTGGATTTTACTTAAAATCCAGAGCCAAATCTGCAAATAAGAGTTCATATCTTTGAAGGCAGGGACTTAGTAGTTCCATCTTTATTTCCCATTTACTCTGGTACAGACTACCTTTTAATTATCTTGACAAGTGAGTTGTTAAAAGAATACTACTATTTCGTGAGAGAAACATGGATGTGGGAGACACATGGAGTGGCTGCCACCCACACAACCCCAAGCGGGGCGGAGGACAAACTGCAGCCGAGGTGGAGTGGATCCAATAGCAAGTGGTAAAAAAACGGACGAAGAGGGATTATGACTTCAGTTATGCCTTACTTCAACAATCCCAAGTGGCCGAGCATGTGGTACATGCACTGCAGCGACAGCACGTATCCCTGCCAGTCAGACACGAACATTGAAGGAGCCTGGAAGAGAGGCTACATGGGGAAGAACGTTGTGGTCGCCATCCTGGATGACGGCATTGAGAGAACCCATCCGGATCTGATGCAGAACTATGATGCGCTGGCTAGTTGTAATGTGAATGGGAATGACTTGGACCCAATGCCTCGTTATGATGCAAGCAACGAGAACAAGCGAGGCCCCAGTGACAGCTGGCCGGCGTGACTGGCAGGGAGCCTTGCATTTTACTTTTGCTAAGGGAAATATTTTTTTTTTACTTGAAAACCCTTGGTTACAAATAATCCCTAAGTTGCTCCAAGCTAATCAAGTGTCTTTCCACGGAAGCTTCTGGGTAATGAAAAGGAGTGGTCCACAGAGTAATTACTGCAGAAAGAGCTAGAGCACTCTAGAGAAGGACTCACCATTTCCAAATTTTGAGAGGAGAGCTGGGGAAGATTGCCTTTCAAGTGGTAATTGACCTGTGACCCATTTGTTTAGGGCTGGGGTGCTAAAGGGAGAGACAAACAAAGTATCCCTCAAAAGAGTTACATTACTCTGTGAACTTCAAAAAGTTTGCTTACTGTACTTGAGGTCTCTTTCCTCTTCTCTTCCCTATAGTGATGGTGTTTGCCACTAATATACCTGAATTACTTATACGGTTTGCCATGTGTGGAACACATTACATTTCTTATCTCCACAGCCAAGAGCCTTCAAAACCCATTTAACCACAGTTACACTTTCCAGTTAGGACAGTAATTTTGGTGAAAGCAAATGAAAATGCACATCTGTGTGATAAGGTAGACTATCTCAACATTCCTCAGAAAGTAAATGGAAATGGTATTTCTTGCTCACGATGATATAAATTCTTTAAAGGTTATAGATATTTCTAATCTCTAGATCACGTTAACTTCTTTCCTTTTATTGCAAAGCTCTCAAGCCTAATACTGTGATTTAGATGTTATCATTTGAATTGTCATTTACATATTTTAGTTTGGGGTTGCAGAGGTTCCAGAGAGGTGTTGTGCCCATTTATTATGCACTATTTCCAGCCTGTGTTTTTCCTGAGGGAAAAATTTCTCAGCTAGGATTAGTTGATTAAGTCAATAAGTTTATATAAAACTATATGACCTAGATAATTGTGACTGTACGTGGGACTTTTTTCTCTCTACCATTTACCAAGAAGCCTCATTAAAGTTACTCTGGAAATAAAATTTAAAATAAATAAATAAATAAAATAAAAGAATACTACTATTTCTTTATAGCAAATTATGGCCCTTCGTGGGTAAGAACAAATGTACTATACCTTTTTGTAGCCTAACCCCAACATTCAGCCTAGCATAGGGTCCAAGGTACAGTACCCAATTCAACAACTTTTTTTAAAGATTTTTTTTTTTAAATCATCCTCACCCGAGGACATTTTTCCATTTTTCGTTCAGGAAGAGTGGGAGGGAGAGAGAGGAACAGAGAGAGAGAGAAACATCAATGTGAAAGGGACACATTGAGTGGTCACCACCCACACAACCAACCAGGGCCGGGGACAAACGCAACCGAGGTCCGTGCCCTTAGCGGGAACTGAACCCGGGTCTCTCCGGACCGCAGGCCAGTGCTCTAACCGCTGAGCCAAACTGGCCAGGGTGAGATTTTTAAAAATTAATTTGAGAGAGAAACATTGATGTGAGAAACATCTATCAGTCACACACCCACACATGCCCCAACCAGGGATCGAACCCACAACTCAGGTATGTGCCCTGACTGGGAATCAAACCCATTTTGGTACATGGGACAAAGCTCCAACCAACTGAGCCACATCAGCCAGGGCAACAAACTCCTTTTATTGACAACAGTGATAATATTCTTTTTCTTCTTTCATTCAAGAACTGCCTCTTAGCCTTGAGACAAAAAGACTTATATTGGAGCTAATGAGAAACAGTAGCTTCTCTGACAATCTGGAGCAGCACTTACCTTTCCTTAATCTTATTGGAGATAATGCCTCAAGAGCTGTGATTAGGATGTCATCATCTTTAGTACTTACTGTCCCATGTCTCCGAAGTCCATTCCAAAGTGCTAACTATAACCACCAGTTACAGCAAACCAGAGAAGTAGGTTTAGAAGTCAAGGATTCTGGAAAAATTCTGGAGCTCTCACATACTTATGCTTCTTACAGAAGTGAAAGCAGGTTCAGAAACGGATTTAAAGATTACAGCAGACCTTGGCATCTTGTTTTGGGGAAGTTTTATGGCCTTGTAGCCATAAATACGAAATACTTCAGGCTCCAATAAAGTATAAAGCAGAGCTTCCCAATCAAGTGATGGCAAAGTATGCCATGTAGGGATTACAGATATATGAAGGTATTGCTACTCACCCCCCACCCCACCCCACCCAATCTTTGGCAATCAACCAAGGCCTAGAGCAATGGACACTCTGGGCTTATTTTCCTTTAAATTTTGAACAGCCTCTAGTCACCTCTTCAAGGCTCCACAGTAGGTTGGCCTCAGCAGAGAGGAGGGATCTAACATTAAACAGGTTAGGAATCAATGATACAGAAAACCTAATAAACACCCACTCTACCACTCATGCTAAGAAATTAATCAAGCACCTACTCCCAATTGAATTCCCATAAGAACTATCATCCTGAATTTTATTTTTATCATTTCTTTTTTTTAATCTATCTTTATATTTTTTTGAAATCTTTATTGTTGAATGTAGAATGTATTACAGATGTTCCACATTTTTCCCCCATTGACTGCCTCCTCCCTACTCCCGCCCCCCTCCCACCTTTTCCCACACTATTGTCTGTGTCCATTGGTTATGCATATAAGTTCTTTGGTTTATCTCTTCCCACCGCCAACCCCTTTCCCTTCGAGGTTTGTCAGTCTAGCAATGAATTTGTACTTCTTCTTCTTTTTTTTAATCCTCACCGGAGGACATTTTTCCATTTTTTGTTCAGGTAGAGTGGGAGGGAGAGAGAGAGAGAGAGAAACATCAATGCGAAAGGAACACATCAAGTGGCTGCCACCCGCACAACCGACCAGGGCCGGGGACAAACTGCAACCGAGGTAGCGCCCTTAGCGGGAACCAAACCCGGGTCTCTCAGGACCGAAGGCTGACGCTCTAACCGCTGAGCCAAACCGGCCAGGGCTGAATTTGTACTTCTTAATCCCTTCACCTTTTCACCCATTCCCCCAACCCTCCTCCCATCTGGCAACCAACAGAACGTTCTCTGTATCTATGAGAATGTTTCTGTTCTGCCTGTTCATTTTGTTTGTAGATTCCATTGTCGGTAGATATGTATTCATTGCCATTTTGTTTGTTCATACATTTCATCTTTTTCTTCAAAAACACCCTTCAACGTTTCATATAATAACAGTTTGGTGGTGATGAACTCCTTTAATTTTTTCTTGTCTGGGAAAGTCTTTTTATGGCCATCGATTCTAAATGACAGCTTTGCAGGATAGAGTAATCTTGGTTGTAGGTTCTTGCTTTACATCATTCTGAATATTTCTTGCCACTCCCTTCTGGCCTGCAAAGTTTTTTTTGAGAAATCAGCTGACAGTCTTATGGAAACTTCCTTGTAGGTAACTAACTGCTTTTCCCTTGCTGCTTTTAAGATTCTCTCTTTGTCTTACACCTTTTGCATTTTGATGATGATGTGTCTTGGTGTGGGCCTCTTGGGGTTCATCTTGTTTGGGACTCTCTGTGCTTCTTGGACTTGTATGTCTGTTTCTTTCATCAAGTTAGGGAAGTTTTCTGCCATTATTGTTTCAAATAGGTTTTTGATTTCTTGTTCTTTCTCTTCTCCTTCTGGTACCCCCAAGATGCGAATGTTGGCATGCTTGAAGTTGTCCCAGAGGCTCCTTACACTACCCTCATTTTTTTGAATTTTTTTTTTCTGTTCTGATTGGGCATTTTTTGCTTCCTTATATTCCAAATCGATGGTTTGCTTCTTGGCTTTACCTACTCTACTGTTGAATCTGTGTAAATTATTCTTTATTTCAGTTAGCTCCTCCTTCATTTCTGACTGGTCCTTTTTTATGCTCTTGAGGCCTTCACTAAGTTCACTGAGGTTCTCACTAAGTCCACTGAGCATCCTGATAAGCAGTATTTTGAACTCAGCATCTGTTAGGTTGCTTATCTTCATTTCACTTAGTTCTTTTCCTGGAGTTTTGTTCTGTTCTTTCATTTGGGACCTGTTTCTTTGTCTCCTCATTTTGGCTGCCTCCCTGTGTTTGTTTCTGTGTATTACTTAACGAGCAGTATGGGGCTAGCTGAGACCAGATGCTGCTCGTTTGAAAGAATTTAGGAAAAACCTGAAGCGGGATCCAAGACAGGCTAATCCTATGATTAAGCAAGTGGCAACAGCTTGGATAGGCCTTAAAGGTGGGTGGGGTGGGGCAGGGCCTCAGGGAGTCACCAGGCGGAGCTACCAGTGTGAGCCAGGTTGCTGGTGTCCCAGATATGGTGGCTGTCTGCCTCCCCAGGGAAGGGCTCACCAAAGGAACTAAGGCCTCTGACAGCACGTCTGTCCCAGAAAAAGCCCCCTCTCCAGCCCTCGCTCCAGTGCCAAACAGCTCAGTTCTTCCCTGTATGTCTCTGGTGCCCCTTAAGCTGCCTCCCCTCCAAGCTTAGAGGGAGAGAGTCCGATGCGCCGGCCCTTTAAGGAGCTGCCTGGGGCTCCAGCCGCTTCGGCTTCCCTGAGCCTCAGTTCCCGCTGGTTTTTCCAGCCAGAAGTTATGGGGGACTTCTCTTCCTGGCACTGGAACCCTGAGCAGGGCACCTGGTGTGGGACAGGGACCCCTCCATCCTCAGGAAGGACCTTCCCAGCCGAGGTATCCCCCTGATTTTTATCCGCCACAGGTGGGTTGGGACCAGCCCGTCTTGCCACCGGCCCTCGCGCCTCCACCCTTCCTACCAGTCTGGATGTGGCTGCTGCTTTAATTCTGTAGCTGTAGGACTTCCATTCAGCTTGATTTCAGGTTGTTTTGAATGATGGTTGTTGTGTAATTTAGTTGTAACTTTGATGTGGTTGTGGGAGGACGTGATACCACGTTTACCTATGTCGCCATCTTGACTGGAAGTCTCCTTATTTTTATCATTTCTGTGCTAGTGTTTTTCATGTTTTAAAACCTTATATATATAAATACTTTGTGTTGTATCACTTATATATCAGTAACTATTTTGTTTAATGATATACTTACAAGATGTGTCTGTTGTTTATCTCTACTTCATTTATTTTCACTGCTATATAGAATTTTAACATGTGACTATTCTACAACTTAGAATTTCTATTTCTAGATATTCAGATTTCCAATTTTCATTATCACATTGCTCCAATGAGCATTCTTATACATATTTCCTTGTGTACATGTGTGGATATAAACCCAGAAGTGCAATATCTGGATATCTTTAACTTTACCAGATACTGACAAATTGCTAAACAAAGTAGCAGAACTAATTTGTCCCCAAAGGAATTTCAGTGGCCCATATATCTAGTGGGCCTGGGACAAAATACTTGCTTGGAGTCATCAGAGGTGTTCTGTGATGCGTGGGAGGCCTTCTGAGAGCGGTGCGCAGAGCAGAAGCCCACTCGCTAAATTTTGTTCAAGTATCTGGATCAGGAAAGGATCAATACTTTCCAGAGTTCCTTCCAAGCCAGAGATCCCACAAGGACTGTGAGGAACTACACCTTCCTGTATGGAGAAACAGAAAAATGACACAGGAATAAGTGGGCCTAGAAGTTCTATCTAGAGCATAGGGTAGTGGGAACTCCTACCAAAAGCTCTGGTCTGAGTATTATACCAATAGCTCTCACTTTTGCCCTAGACCAATGGTTTCTACATCCTCCTAAGAACCCCACGGGTTCCCTTTAGGGACTGTGGGGAAAGTGAGGGAGGGCAGGACTCTGGTTCCTTTCCACCCCTCCTCTTGCTTCAACCAGGATAATTCTGAGCTTATCAGTTTTTCATATTGGACTTTAGTGTCAGTGTTATTTGAAGAAAAGTTACCTCAGTTTAAAAAATAAAGTTTGAGCCCTGGTTGGTTTGGCGTCGGACTGTGGACCAAAAGGTAGCAGGTTCGATCCCAGTCAAGGGCATGTACCTGGGTTGCAGTTTCAATTCCCAGCCCCGTCTCTCTCATATCCAAGTCTCTCTCTCTCTCTCTCTCTCTCTCTCTCTCTCTCTCTCTCTCTCCTCCTCCTCCTCCTCCTCCTCCTCCTCCTCCTCCTCCTCCTCCTCTTCTCTCTCCCTCACTCCCTCCTTTCTACTCTGTCTAAAAAGCAATGGAAAAATATCCTCCAATGAGGATTAACAATAACAACAACAAAAATGTTTGAGCCCTGGCTGGTGTGGCTCAGTTGGTTGAGCATCGTCCACTGCACTGAAGAATCGCCAGTTTGATTCTCAGTCAGGGCACATGACCAGGTTATGGGCCCCATCCCAGGTTGGGTGCATACAGGAGGCAGCTGATCAGTGTTTCTCTCTCATATCTATGTTTCTCTCTCTCGCTCTTTCCCTTCCCCTCTCTCTTAAATAAATAAAAACATTTAAAAATTTATAATGAGCCCTGGCCAGTTTGGCTCAGCGGTTAGAGCGTCGGCCTGCGGTCCGGAGAGACCCGGGTTCGGTTCCCGCTAAGGGCACGTACTTCGGTTGCAGTTTGTCCCCGGCCCTGGTTGGTCGTGCGGGTGGCAGCCACTCGATGTGTCCCTTCACGTCGATGTTTCTCTCTCTCTCCCTCCCACTCTATCTGTACAAAAAATGGAAATATATCCTCGGGTGAGGATTTAAAAAAAAAAAAAAAAAATTTATAATGAAATTGTATTTTTTTAAAAAGTTTAAAGCCCTGGCCGGTTTGGCTCAGCGGTTGGAGCGTCGACCTGCGGTACAGAGAGACCCGGGTTCGGTTCCCGCTAAGGGCATGTACCTCGGTTGCAGTTTGTCCCCAGCCCTGGTTGGTCGTGCGGGTGGCAGCCACTCGATGTGTCCCTTCACATTGATGTTTCTCTCTCTCTCTTCCTCGCTCTCCCTCCTGCTCTATCTGAACAAAAAATGGAAAAATGTCCTCGGGTGAGGATAAAAAAAAAAAAAATTTTAAGCCCTGGCCAGTTTGGCTCAGTGGTTAAAGCATCGGCCTGCGGTCCTGAGAGTCCCGGGTTTGGTTCCCGCTAAGGGCATGTACCTCGGTTGCAGTTTGTCCCCTGCCCTGGTTGGTCGTGCAGGTGGCAGCCACTCGATGTGTCACTTTCACGTCGATGTTTCTCTCTCTCTCTCTCTTCCTCTCTCTCCCTCCCACTCTATCTGTACAAAAAATGGAAAAATGTCCTCAGGTGAGGATAAAAATAAATAAATAAATAAATAAAAAATAAATTAAAAAGTTTAAAAATACTGATCTCTTCATGGAAGTAGGAAACAGACTGACAAACTTCAGAGGGAGAGGGGGAAGGCAGGAAGAGAAACCAAAGAACTTATATGCAGATTATGTATAACCAGTGGACATAAACAGCAATACTTGAAGTGGGGGATGGGAGCAGGGAGGAGGGTGGCAATGGGAGAAAAAGGAGAAACACTTGTAACAAAAATTAATTTTTAAAAATGTAAACACTTAGGAAAAAAATGCTTATCTCTGATAATCCTTTTCACAGGAGAGCAGGCGAGTCTTAACTATATGCGCCCAGTTCCTGAAGTGGAGGCTGCCCCCAGAAGTGTACCACAAAGATCCCTGGTACATCAACCCTAGTGAAGTTGAAACAATCTGCAAATTCCTCGTATGTGAGAAATAATGGTTTTGTTAACGCTTTAATATACTGACTTTTTTTTTCAGATGTAGTTTTTAATCAGAAGTTGATATCTATGAACTGTTTTGTACTGTGAATCTATAGGTTTCTCCCAGCTGAGTCACAAGAACACTTCCCATTACCACTCTTCCTCACAGAAAAGACTGGTGAATTCTTGGGAAACCCCCCCCCCCCGCCCCATTCTGGGTCAGGCTACAGGGTCAAGCTCGTAGTACATACTCAAATATCTACTTGTGGAGTGAACTGAAATGGAGTTGTGTATTGCCTTTACAATGATCTCTAATCCTGTCCTTGGATATACTGGGTTCTTTACCCTCCATCAGATCATGTTCAGGGAGCCCCAAGCAAGGGCTGCCATATGGTTGTAGGCCATATAGCATGAGGAGAGCATGCCACTGGCTCTGCCAGGATTCTGCTGGCATCCTTTCTCCCCACAAACTTGACAAAGGGTACTATGGCCAACATTAGAGGCAGGCTTGAGCCAGAACAACCTCAGGAGGCCACCCATTTTTTTTCTCTTTTTAGACAACTGACTCTAGAACCACCACTGGGACCCTAGGACTTGCCCTGGCTGGGTGGCTCAGTTGTTCGGAGCATTGTCCTGTATACCAAAAGATTGAGGGTTTCATTCCTGGTCAAGGCAAATATCTAGGTTGCGGGTTCAATCCCTGGCCATGGTATGTACAGGAAGCAACAATGTTTCTCTCACATCAATATTTTTCTCTCTCCCTCAACAACAAAAAACAATCAATTACACACACACACACACACACAAAAATCCACCCTGGCCGGTTTGGCTCAGCAGTTAGAGCATCGGCCCACTGACCAAAGGGCCGCAGGTTCAATTCCAGTCAAGGGCATGTACCTGGGTTGCAGTTTCGATCCCCAGCCCCAGTCAGGGTTGTCCAGGAGGCAGTGTCCTTGTGTCAGGCTTTCCACTGCGGATTATCTCTCTGACCTGTAGCCAAATTTATAACTGGTGTACTGATGACAGGATTTGCAGCAGGAAATTCAGTGCTCTCAGTGGATAAGACTACAGATTTTCCATGTTAAATCATAAGTCCTATGAGAACAGCTTCCTGTTCTCCTCCTGTCCCTGAGGTACCTATCCTTGTCAGAGATCCACTGAGAGGTGAACTCACTCATCCAACAAGCATAACATATCCGATGTGCAACAGGCCATGGAGAACCCAGAAATGGGCCAACGATTAAAACTTCCTAAGGGGTCCTGGCTGGTTTGGCTCAGCGGTTAGAGCACTGGCCTGCAGTCCAGAGAGATGCGGGTTTGGTTCCCGCTAAGGGCACGTACCTCGGTTGCAGTTGGGTCGTGTGGGTGGCAGTCATTCGATGTGTTCCTTTCACATCAATGTTTCTCTCTGTCTCTCTTTCTCTCCCCCTCTCTCCCTTCCTCCCTCCCTCCCTCCAAAAAAAAAAAAAAAATGGAAGAATATCCTCAGGTGAGGATAAAAAAAAAAAAAACAACTTTCTAAGGGGAGCTTACAAGCTAGTTAGGGAGATAAAACCTCTGTGCAATATTAATAGAAACTCAGGGTGGAAAATATGTGCCAAGAGAGAAGTGCCTGCAAAATGCTCAGAGCAGGGTTAGGTCAGGAAGGCAGGAGCCATCAGGGAAGAGCTCATAGGGAGGCAGAACTCAAGGTGGAGCTTAGAGATCGGCGACTACCTAGACACAGAGAAATGAAAATAGATTTAGAGGCATTACAGGCACAACATGCAGCCTGAGTGGGAGTGAGCAAGGTATATTCAGAGGATTTAACCTTGTCTAGGGGACTGTGATATAATATTCATTGAGCAATTGTAGTTATTTCAAGTACTGTACTATATATGTATATCTGACCTAGTTCCTGACTGGAAACTGTAGTGAGGCTAATAAAAAATAGTGCTGCTGCCCTGGCCGGTTTGGCTCAGCGGTTAGAGCATCGGCCTGCGGTCCTGAGAGACCCGGGTTCGGTTCCCGCTAAGGGCGCGTACCTCGGTTGCAGTTTGTCCCCGGCCCTGGTCGGTCGCGCAGGTGGCAGCCACTCGATGTGTTCCTTTCACATAGATGTTTCTCTCTCTCTCTCTCTGTTCCTCTCTCTCCCTCCCACTCTACCTGAACAACAACAACAACAAAAATAGTGCTGCTACTTCACTCCTTTATACTCTTACTTTTTTCCTCCTCTTAGGGAAAAAAATGCAAGGGGAAAGTTAACATCCTAGCCCAAACATTGACGTTCTCCAAGAATGCAAAACTTCCTATCAGAAGAGCAGCGGTCTTGTTTATAGGTACAAAAAAAAGTCCTTTCATTTGTATAGTCACCTCTATCCTGAACTTTCCCAAATTGTGTTGAATATCTCCATTCTTTATGAAGATGACCTTGAAAATACTTTTTTGGAGAAAGGCGCTATGTTATCTATAGGTAATTATCAAGTACTTGTAAATCCAGTTTTTAGAATCTAATTATCAAATGCCAGTTCCTCCAGCTGCTTAGAGCCAAATCCAGATCACAGACTGACTGACTTTGTTCTGCATTTAGGGCTCTTTTCAAAGTACTTGGATCACAATGAGCTCAGGATGAAGGGTACTAAATGGATAGTGGATGGTAAGTGATAACGCACTTGGGTTTGGGGTGCCCCATCTTTTGGAAGGTATCTGCAGCAGTGAATGGGCAGGCACTGTGGCAGAGCTGAGACTCTGAGAACCAGAAAGCCTGATTTTTGTGGCAAATGGAAGCCCTTGGAGACTTCAGCTGAATGACAGTCTCATTCTAGTCCCATTCCCTCTTTAGGAAAGAACATGACCCTATTTGTTTGGGAACCAGCTTTGATGAACTGTCTCAGCGACAGTTCCTGAACTTTGTCAGGAAATAAGACATTACCTAGAAACACTATCTTAATAAATTATGATGACACCTTACAAGTACCACACAGATGACTGCAGTACTATTTTCTGTACGTGGTTGTCTTGTAAGGTGGTAGGACTTGATAATAAAGATGTTTATGGTCATATAAGGCAATCATCATACAAATGGTTTTCTGAATTGTTAGGGAGCAAAAATTTCTATAATTGTACAGCTTTGAGAATTTAACACTCAAATAATTATTTATTCCAAGTTAAGAAGTAGATGTACAATTAACAAATGTCATTACTAACTCTCACAACCCCAAAGCATGTACTTTGAGAACCAAATTATAATCCTGGATAATTCATTGCTTTTAAAAATAAAAATATAGCTCTGGCCGGTTTGGCACAGCGGTTAGAGCGTTGGCCCGCGGACCAGAGAGTCCCAGGTTTGGTTCCTGCTAAGGGCACGTACCTCGGTTGCAGTTTGTCCCCGGCCCCAGTTGGGGTTGTTTGGGTGACAACATTGATGTTCCTCTCTTCCTCCCTCTCTCCCTCCCACTCTATCTGAAGATAAATGCAAAAATGTCCTCAGGTGAGGATAAAAAAAATAAAAATAAAAATATAGAACTGGTAAAATAGCCAGAAGCTAAAGCTTTTTTAGGAAAGATCACGCCACTGCCCGACTGATATCAGAAGCAAAAAAAAAAAAGAAAGGTCATGTAGCTTTTTTTATTCTATGAGGTAGGATTCTATGTAGTTGACTCTATTCAATTAAAAGCAAATTATTTTTTAATCTAAAACACTGGGTAATCAAAGTCCCTTTTCTATTCTAAAGTTATCTACATAGAATATCTAGAATATGTATATAAATTATATATACACAAGAGGAGGAACCATATAAAATTGCCACTGCAGCCCTGGCCGGTTTGGCTCAGCGGTTAGAGTGTCAGTCTGTGGTCCAGAGAGACCCGGGTTCGGTTCCCGCTGAGGGCATGTATTTTGGTTGCAGTTTGTTCACGGCCCTGGTTGGGTCGTGCAGGTGGCAGCCACTCGATGTGTACCTTTCACGTCGATGTTTCTCTCTCTCTCTCTCTTCCTCCCGCTCTATCTAAACAAAAAGTGGAAAAAAAAAAATGTCCTTGGGTGAGGATAAAAAATAAATAAATAAAATAAATAAATAAATAAAATTGCCACTGCAAAAGCCGTCAGATATCAGCAATCTCATGTGGTTCAATTTAATGGAATAACCCAGACTATTTCCTCCCTAACAGTGGCTAATCTGTTTTAGAAATAGGGTAGAGCACCCTAGCACTCTTTGTGAACAAGTTTATGTCATTTAACACAGGCAATTTTAAGCAAATTTAAATAAAAATAACAAAAATTAAAATATTAATTTAATTGCATGACAAAATAAGTTTCAATTTGTTTGGATTCCAAAACTGATGCCTGGCCCTGGCCTGTTTGGCTCAGTGGTTGGAGAGTCGACCTGCGGCCCTGAGAGACCCGGGTTTGGTTCCCGCTAAGGGCGCGTACCTCGGTTGCAGTTTGTCCCCGGCCCTGGTCGGTCGTGCGGGTGGCAGCCACTTGATGTGTTCCTTTCACATTGATGTTTCTCTCTCTCTCTCTCTCTGTTCCTCTCTCTCCCTCCCACTCTACCTGAACAAAAAAATGGGAAAATGTCCTCAGGTGAGGATAAAAAAACAAACAAAAAACTGATGCCTGTTTCCTCATGTATTCTGTGGAACATGTAGGCAGATCTTAATGCAGGAACTAATAGAAACTAAAAACTAGTCAAGTGTTCCACTTGGAAATAAACATGATGAATTTAAAGGCTAAATGCTACTTAAAAAATGAAAAGCTCCTAATTAATGAAGCGGTCCTGAGCATTTTTGAGACGTTGGAGAATGAGAAATTGTCTGGGTAGCTCAGTTTGGTTAGAGCATCACCATGATATGCCAAAGTTATGTGTTCGATCCCTGGTTAGGGCACATACAAGAAGCAACTAGTGAATGCATAAATAAGTGAAACAACAAATTGATGTTTCTGTTTCTCTCTCTTCCTCCCTCTCTCTCAAATCAATAAATACACTTTAAAAACAAGAAGAAAGCTTTTAGTCTTTTCTAATATGATACAAACATAGATCCATAAAGTAAAAGAATAATATATTCATCTATGTAAAAAATTTAAAATCTAACTTTGAGCCCTCGCCTATTTGGCTCAGTGGTAGAGCATCGGCTTGTGGACCAATGAGTCTGGGCTTCAGTTCTGGCCAAGGGCATGAACCTTGGTTGCAGTTCATCCCCTGCCCTGGTTGGGATCTTGTGAGTGGCACCCACTCGATGTGTCTCTTTCATGTCGATGTTTCTCTCTCTCTCTTCCTCCCTCTCTCCCTCCCACTCTATCTGAAGGTAAATGCAAAAAAAAAAAATCCTCTGGTGAGGATTAAAAATAAATAAATAAATAAATAAATAATAACTAACTTTGAAACAAAAATTTACAGACAGAGAGGGTATGGGGGGATAAATGGTGATGGAAAAAATATAATAAAAAATGTAAAAGGTAACAGACAAAATTAAAAAATAAATGATGAGCCCTGGCCAGTTTGGCTCAGCGGTTAGAGCGTCGGCCTGCGGTCTGGAGAGACCTGGGTTCGGTTCCCGCTAAGGGCACGTACTTCGGTTGCAGTTTGTCCCCGGCCCTGGTTGGTCGTGCGGGTGGCGGCCACTCGATGTGTCCCTTCACGTCAATGTTTCTCTCTCTCTCTCCCTTCCTCTCTCTCCCTCCCACTCTATTGTACAAAAAATGGAAAAATATCCTCGGGTGAGGATAAAAAAAATAAATAAATAAATAAATGATGATATGGGGGGATATATGTGCCATATGACAAATGGTTAATATCCTTAACACAAGTCAGTACTTTTTCAAAACAAGTGGCAAACAATATGAATAAGCAATTCATAGAATACAAATGGCCAATAAATATATAAAAAATATTCAATATTACCAGTAATCAAAGTTTGTAAAACAAAATGATGAGATACCAGTATGTGTTTTTCTGTCAAAATGGCAAAGATTATTAATTAATATTCAATATTGGTGTATAAAGAGAAAACTGACATCATACACTATGCTGGTATGAACATAAATTGATACAACATTTTCATAGGGAAGTTTGGTAATGTGTATAAGAACCCTTTTAATAAAATATTTTGACTTATAAATCACACTTCTAGGAATTTAACCTATGAAAATAAGCAGAAATTGTTAAAGGGATGTTACTTAAAATAGCAAAAATGGGAAACATCCAAGATTAGAAACAAGGAAATTATAGCATATCCATATCGTACAATCGTATGTACCTGTGAAAAATATTGTGAAAAATGGGGGGAATAATGATTTAAGAGTAACCTCTAGGACAAGTACAGGAACTTAGAAATTAACAGTATTAAACAAAACTTAACAAGTCCAGATAATCTGACTTTATGTAGACTACTTGGCTGTGTGATTAGTGTAAAGGAGAAAAATGTTTGGTATCTCAGAAATGATTAAGTTTTGTAGGTCAAAATTGGAATTGAGCCCTGGAACTGTTTGGCTCAGTGGTTGGAGCGTCAGCCTGCGTTCCGGAGAGACCCGGGTTCAGTTCCCACTGGGGGTATGTGCTTCGGTTGCAGTTTGTCCCCGGCCCTGGTTGGGTCATGCGGGTGGCAGCCACTCGATGTGTCCCTTTCATATCAATGTTTCTCTCTCTCTCTCTCCCTCTCTCTCTCCCTCCTGCTCTATCTGAATGAAAAATGGAAAAATGTCCTCGGGTGAGGATAAAAATTAAAAAAAAAAATTGGAATTGATGTACAAACTTTCAGATAGTGGCTTGGAAAATGTTAGCCCTTTATCTTGGCTGTTGTAGGCATGTTGGTTGTTTGGTGTCTAGACCAGCAATCATTTCCATTGATCTTCACCTCCCACCTGGGTTTTCTTGCCACTTAGATCTGAGGCATCTGCTGCATGACCCTGAGCCCTCTCTGTACATCATCACTTCCCAGGCCTTGTACCAAATTCAGAACATGGTGGGTGTACCAGATTCCGAGGAGACAGTTTGCGGGTTGAACTTCATGGATTGTCTTCCTACGTAGGAATGCAAGGCAAGCAACCTCAGGTAAAAACTAATCCTTTCAGAAACCACAGAAGCAACTCGTGCTCCATTTTTTTTTTTTTTTTTTTCAGACTTAAAGAAATGCCAGAATGAAGCTACCTCCACCCATTAAATTACCTCAGAACATATTTTTTGCTATCAAACCAATTAAGGAATTAGAATACGTAAGAGAGAACAGCTTTTGGTTCGGCAGGTGGAGTGAAAATGTACCGAGTTTTTGAGGCATGCCAGAACATCCACAAAGTTCCAGTTTGGTAAACATGCATAAGAGTGCTTCAAAAGAGATTCTAAATAAATGTCAATGTTGCAGTGTTTTTATTGTTGGCTCTTTTGTCAAGGCCCAGTCTACTTGTCAATAAACTAAGAATAAAGTAACAACCGTTCCTATAGTTTGATATTAATGATGTATTATTATAAAATTCTGTACAGCTTTTATTCTTCCTTTCCTTTAAAAACCTTCAAGCTAGAAAAAACTTCTGAAGTGGTGTAATGATAAATCTATCCCAATATATCTGAAGTTTCCACTCCTTACTTTCCCTTTTTCATTATTCTGATTCCCTCTCCTACAACTGCTGTCAGATGCTATTATTTGTTGGCATCTGCTTTAAGCATAGAAGGAGAAAATTTTCTTACAACCAGAAATTTTCTGAGAAAGAGATTAATCTGTATTTATCAATACCTTGATAAGTTGCATGTAGAAAGGGTCACTGTTGGTCTAATTCCCAGCCTCTTGTTTGGTTGAGGAATGTAAGCAGAGAGCCAGAGCTGAACTATATTGAGGGCAATGGAGAGGCCTCATAGTATGGGAAAAGATAAAGGAAATGAGGCAACTAGCATATGAAGAATAGACACATCCAGTGGCAAATTTCATGAAGTTTTGTTTTTGTCTTTATCCTTACACAAGGACATTTTTGCATTTATCTTCAGATAGAGTGGCAGGAAGAGAGAGAGAGAAACATCGATGTGAGAGAGACACATCGACTGGCTGCCACTCACATGACCCCAACCAGGGCTAGGGACAAACTGCAACTGAGGCGCATGCCCTTAGTGGAAACCTAACCCGGGACTCTATGGTCTGCGGGCAGAGGCTCTAACCACTGATCCAAACTGGCCAGGGCTGCATAAAGTTTTTTTTGTAAAGTGAGCAATATGAATCTTTACCACCCTATCTCTCTCATCTTTCAACCCCCTTTCCTCTGCCAAGATGCATGGTGAGTTAGATGTTTTGTGGGATGTAACAGTGTGCCAAGTGTGGCTTCAGGAGGATCCCTGCCCAAGAGGTCTTCATGTTTGGGACTAGTAGTCAGGAGTTTCAGCTAAAATGCAGGTCCTGGCTGCCTGATGAACTAAATTGTCACCCTCAAGTAGAGCCACTTTGAGGATTGATCACTGGATGCTAAATTTGAGTGCAGCAAGCCTATTTGACTTACATTTATCCCACACTGCTTCCTCCTTGGTCTCACAGCATACACCTAACCCCACTCTACTCCAGGCAACTCCACTATCGTTTTGTGATTATCCAATAAAAATGTTTAAGGCTTAGTGAATTTTGGCAATGAGCCAGACTCTAAATATATGATTAACTCTTTTAATCCTCATAACCACTCCATGTATTATCTCCATTTTGCAGATGGGAAAGCTGAGGACCAGAACATGAAAGGGACTTGCCCAAGCTTATACAACTAGTAAATGCTAAACTCAAGTAGTCTGTCCCCAAAGTCAACATCCATGACTGGTCTGCTCTGCTCCTCTTCAATCTGGTCTTTCCCTCAAATGTGAATAAATGTAGATTTATTCTACAATTAGTCTCAGTTGCTGGATCCATGCCCAAAACTCATATACTCAAATGATGTTATAAAGTATTATTGAACCTGAAATAATAAATACAAGTTCGAACACTTCTTACCTAAAAGCTAGTGTACCTCATTTTATTTTTTTAATGAGATAGAATGCACATCCTGAGGAGAGTGGAATTAGAGCAAAAAGTGATGGTTATTCTCTCTCTTTTTTTTTTTATCCTCACCTGAGGACATTTTTCCATTTTTTGTTCAGGTAGAGTGGGAGAGAGAGAAAAGAACAGAGAGAGAGAGAAACATCCACGTGAAAGGGACACATCGAGTGGCTGCCACCAGCATGACCAACCAGGGCCTGGGACAAACTGCAACCGAGGTACGCGCCCTTAGGGGAAACCAAACCCGGGTCTCTTGGGACCGCAGGCCAATGCTCTAACCGCTGAACCAAACTGGCCAGGGCAGTGGTGGTTATTCTTGTCTGGCTGGTGTGGCTCAACGGTTAGAGAGATGACCCATGCACCCACCAAGAGGTCACCAGTTCTATTCCCAGTCAGGGCACATGCCCAGGTTGTGGGCCCCATCCCCAATGGGGGGCATGCAGGAGGCAACCAATCGATGTTCTCTCTCATTGATGTTTCTATCTCTGTCTCCCTCCCCCTTCCTCTCTAAAATCAATAAAGGAAAAAAAATGTTAAAAAAAAAAAAAGTGGTGGTTATTTTTGAGGAATATATTTGAGTCCTTGGTTTGATCTCATGAACTATCTTTGTCTCACAGCAGAAAAACAGACCTCTAGGTTTAGGATGCAGTTTATATCTCCAGTGACATATAAGAGGTTGAATGAATCCTTTCTCTCTACTCATATTTATGGTGGAGTCCCCTTCCCTCCAGGCAGATTTTTATTTTCTAAGTAATAGCACCATCAGGGAGTGACAAGCTCAACAATGCTTGTTCTAATTTATTTATGTTTTATTTTGTTAAAATTTACAGAGAGAAGCATCTGTTAAGATACAGAGGACTGCTCTTAACTGAACTACCTCAGCAGTTTGGGAAGAGGTGAAGAAGTACTTGATAATGATTATATTAACAAGTCTATTCCACATAGCTCCACTATTTTTATACAAGGCTTCCTTCAGACATAGGTCTTTGTTTTTTGTTTTTTTTAACCTCACCCGAGGACACTTTTTCATTCTTTGTTCAGATAGAGCAGGAGGGAGAGAGAGAGAGAGAAACATTGATGTGAAAGGGACACATCGAGTGGCTGCCACCCCCACAACCAACCAGGGTCGGGGACAAAGTGCAACCGAGGTACATGCCCTTAGCGGGAACCGAACCCGGGTCTCTCGGGACCGCAGGCCGACGCTTTAACTGCTGAGCCAAACCGGCCAGGGCCATAGGTCTTTGTTTTTATGGAATTTTTTTAAATATACAAAACAAAAACTTCTGGACATTTAATTTTGTTGTAATACGTTGAAATAAAAGTTCAATATAATTTAATATTTTGACTTTATTTTTATTATGTACTATTAAAATGTATTATTCATTATCTATTACTGGCTCAGCTGCTTTTATTATCTTAGATTTTTACTTTTAAAAATTTAAATATTGCCCTGGCCAGTTTGGCTCAGCGGTTAGAGCGTCAGCCTGCGGTCCGGAGAGACCCGGGTTCAGTTCCCGCTAAGGGCATGTACTTCGGTTGCAGTTTGTCCCCGGCCCTGGTTGGTCGTGCGGGTGGCGGCCACTCGATGTGTCCCTTCACGTTGATGTTTCTGTCTCTCTCTCCCTTCCTCTCTCTCCCTCCCACTGTATCTGTACAAAAAATGGAAAAATATCCTCAGATGAGGATAAAAAAAAAAAAAATTTAAATATTGTGCCCTGGCCAGTTTGGCTCAGCAGGTAGAGCGCCGGCCTGCAGTCCTGAGAGACCCGGGTTCGGTTCCCGCTAAGGGCATGTACCTCTGTTGCAGTTTGTCCCCAGCCCTGGTTGGTCGTGCAGGTGGCAGCCACTCGATGTGTCCCTTTCACGTCGATGTTTCTCTCTCTCCTTCTCTTCCTCTCTCTCCCTCCCGCTCTGTCTGAACAAAAAAACAGAAAAATGTCCTCTGGTGAGGATAAAAAAAAAAAAAAAAAAAATTTAAATATTGCTTTTCCTCCTTATACTGACATACCTACTTTATAAGAAATTAATTTTTTTCTTATTGAAAGATTAAACTATCATGTAAGTAAAAGATGGGATTAGGCAAGGGGAGAATCTCTCAGGCATCAGCCCTGGCAAATAAAGCAGCACTAAGTACAATTGTAAAATAGGTCAAATCTCTCTGTCCCTTCCGGCTTCCCCTCCTTCCTTCTTCCAGGTTCTAAGTGCTCCTTTTTCTACCTCTTCCTCTTAGGAAAGGATCTGGTGAACTCACTGTTCATTGTGAGTGATTAATAATGCAAGACTTAATGAGGTTAACTCTTCCATATTTGCTTTTTAACAAAATACAGTTCTTAAGCCAAAGGCATGAACCTCTAATTGAGATCTTTTAGGCATTACTGAGCAGGATGGAGAAAGGAGGTATTTGGAGATGGAGTTAGAGGTGACGGTGGGAAATAGATTTTCCTGTTATATAAGCCGCTGCTTTCCCTACCTCTGCCCAAACCCTCCTCAGAACTCATCAGAGGAAAAGGATTAGAAAGGATAATTAATAATTGTCTTCTGTTATGCAAAACACAAAGGGAAGCAATGGATTCTATCCTTCCTGAAAAATGGAGATGACTGCCCAGCACACAGGATGACTTCCCTTACTTAAACACCAAGTGCCAATTACTGAATGATTCAGTTATGTCTTCTACACTTTCTCTCACCCTATAGAGTTTATCTTCTGATGTCCAAGACAGCACTTGTTTTTAAATGGTTCCTATGGCTACTGACAGTCCATCCATATGTCAAAACACAAAATGGAGGCCACCCCACTGGCCCATCCCACTTCACAAATCTCAACCTAAGTCAGCCTGCGCTTAGGGAAACACCTGTCAAGGAAACCTAACATACATCAATCACAATCCTCCAATTCAGCTTTAGCTAGCTTATCTTACACTAGAAAAAATAGGACCTGCTAGCCTTACAAGCAATACATAATTAGAAAACATTAAGAAATAAAACAGGTCCGGCCGTTGTGGTTCAACCATGCACTGAGAGGTCGCCAG